GGCAGAACCATATGCCTGGTGTCCTTAATGGATTCCCACCCAACCTAAAAAAAAAACTGACTGACTGACGAACTGACTGACTGACTAACTGATTGACTAACTAATTGACTGACTAACTAAATAACTAACTGACTGACTCACTAACTGACTGACTGACAAACTGACTAACTGAATGACTGACTCACTAACTGGCTGACTAACTAACCGAATGACTAATTGATTGACTAACTGACTAACTAATTGACTGACTAACTAAATAACTAACTGACTGACTCACTAACTGGCTGACTAACTAAATAACTAACTGAATGACTAACTGACTGACTAACACTGACCTACTAACTGACTATTCCATTCTATGAACGCACAGCCAAAACTACTAGGTCTAGGAAGCTGAAATAGGATTATTTTATTAAATGATTAGATTTTGGGCAGAATCGGAACGTTTGGGGGGGGGTACTTTATAGGGGGTCACTTTTATATTTTATGAAATATATCTGCTATTTACGTTTGGAGAAGAACTTTCTTTAAATAAAAGTTACTTTTAATATTATTCTCTATAATTTTTATTCAATACAAAATTTTCCTATAATGGCTGGTATTCGAGAAATTTGACAAAGTGTAAAAAATTCAAAGTTTTAAGAAAATTATTCAAATAAAAGTCGTTTACGATATCATTCTCTATAAATCTCGTCCTATACATAATTTCTCTAATATGGACAGTATTCGAGATATTTGAGAAAAAGTATAAATTTTGAATTTTGAAAAAAATTCAAAAACGGATAAATAGAAAAACACCAAATTTTAAATTTAGGCTTCAATTCATCCTGCAATAAAATGATTAAATTTTTGAGCATATTCGAAAAATATGGGGGGTACTTAATAGAATGTCGTTTTTCTACTTCTGTTATTTACACTTGGAGAAAAAAATGTTTTAAATATAAGTTGCTTATAATGTTATTCTCTATAATTTTTGTTACGTACATAATATTCTTAAAATGGTCCATATTCGAGAAATTTAACAAAAAGTGCAAAATTCTAATTTTTATGAAAATTGTTAAAGCAAAAATTGTTTGCGATATCGATCTTTATAATTTTTGTTTAATACATGATCTCTCTAAAATGGACCGTAATGGAAAAATTTGAGGAAAAGTGTAAAATTTTAATTTTTCAGTATTTTCGTTGATAGAATATATAAAAAAAGGTTTCGAGTAACATGTATGTGGAAAATGTATATATTAAGTTAATTTTCTAAATATTTACAAGGATGATACAATAGGTTGTACAAAATAGCCGAAAAAATCCTGTAATAATTAGACAGGAAAGTCATGTGTTGAACACATCGGTATTTTTTATATCTTTGACAGATTCTCTTCACCGCCCAACTTCTAAAAATCTGCAAGTGTTCCTCCACTTGCTGTCCGTCATCTTACTCTGACTCCAGTGGCGTAGCTAGAAATTTTTCATGGGAGGGGTTTCTAAGAACTATGGGGGGATTAACAAACAGTTTATAGGGATCAGCGCCAATAAGATAGCGGGAAACGGTGACGCGAAGCCCCTCCATGGGGGGGGGGGGTGTTCTGACCCCCAAACCTCCGCCACTGGGTATACCTCTTTTTTGGCTAGTTTGGATTCTTAAATACTCATAAATACTCATAAATACTCATAAATACTCATAAATACTCATAAATACTCATAAGTACTCATAAATACTTATAAATACTCATAAATACTCATAAATGCTCATAAATACTCATAAATACTCATAAATACTCATAAATACTCATAATTGCCCATAAATACGCATAAATACTCATTGATACTCATAAATACTCTCAAAAATCAACAAATACTTATAAATACTCATACTCATAAATACTCACAAATACTCATAAATAAAAAAATCGAAAAATCGAAACAGAAATTTCGTAACGAAAATAAACCTAACACCCCCCACTCCGACCGTTACAGCGGGCGACGTTGAAAGCCGTGTATCGTCTAACGTCGTTTCAGTTCGGCAGACTTCGGCACGGTGTTTGTGTGCGTGCGACTAGACGTATGCGTGTAGACTAGCTGCTAACTGATTCTATCTCTTTTAGACACAATTTCGGAAAAATTGAATTTGAAACTGAATAATGATCCACAAGAATCCACAACAAAATATGGGACCACCATTGACGTGGTATTTTTCAGATATTTAGAGGATATCAAGTCTCAAACTTATTTTTCTTATTTCAATTACCATAAACCTATAGTTTCAATAATAACATTTCCTGAATAACCTACATGTATTGTAAGATAATAAAAATATTTTAAACAATATTAACTTCTCATTTATTCAATAAAAGAAAAAAAATTGTTTTCTTATCGGTCACCACGCTCAAAAAGTGTAACTTGAATAAATATCAAAGAAAACACTTGAATTAATATCAAAGAAAAAAAATACTGCATAAATAAAATAAATAAATAATTATAATTGCATAAGTTGATAAAAAATGCTATACAATAGCTTTACCGCGGCAGTCCCCGAGTGCCACAAGTATTTTTTTTAACATCTCTTTTATTGATTTCCTCCAATCGGGATTCTAAATATTTCCTTTTCTTTTGCATGCATACTTTTTATGTTTTGATATTTAATTTTACTTTCCTTACTGGATTCCATTAAAAACTTCATTCTACCTTGTATTCCTCATTTTAAATAAATCTTTACCAATTTTATTTAACTAGTCGACCTTTTTTGTATTTATGTTTTTTTACTGTATTGTTTTGGCCACTCACTCGATTGCTTTGTTTATTCTTCTAGCAATGCTAGTTTTTTTGCTTACCAGGTTGTTTTGGTTATCTTCTTTAATTGGTCCCCTAAATTTTCCTTCTGTTGGGATATCTCACTGAACGTTCTTTTATCTTTTCTCTTTCGTTTTCTTGATTCCACCTTCTCCACTATTACAACATAATATGTATATCAAAAATCTTTGAATTTTAACAATGTAGATACCATTTTTTTATATGGAACGTAAGTGACCAAAACTTTTTTATTTTTAGTAAAAGTTTATTTAAATCTGTTAAAACTAAGATGTGCTACTTAATTCTACAGTCTTTTTTCAATGCAGAAGAAAATCGTTATCAACAAAGGAATTACATTAACACATATTTTGAATTGTAGATATGATAATTTAGTAATTATAGAAAAGGAATTTTACACACGCGTAAAAACTGGATTTATAGCATTTTTGTTTATAAACATTTGATAATGAGGTAATAAAATGATCGTCAATTAACGGAAAAATTTCTTATTTACACAAATCTAGGCGTTATTTGTAAAACAATGGCTGGCTCCATTATTACTCAAAGTTGAAAATAGTTTGTGAAATTTTATTATCAATTAGTTCCATTACATTACGGTTTTATAGTTCGCCTTGTTATTGGTATTTTATATGAATGAAAAAATCAGTGTATTCATAGTTACGAATTTCAAAATATCATAAAAACCCCACCGTCAAATAAAGTAAAAATGAATTCGTCCGTTGTGAATAAATAGTAAGATTTGGTGAATCTTAACAAATACAACTCGTGGAATTGATGATTGTTGAAAATTCCTTCTCTTATTCGCAAAGAATAAAATTGCTTCATTCAACTTTATTTCTTTCTTAAAATCTAAGGAATTTATATTTTTGAAGTTTTCCTTTTCGGTTTTATGACCGATTGTATCTCGCCAATAATGGTCATAAAAATATTTTTGATGGTTATTTATTGATTACACACTTTTATATTGTTTCATTATTTTACTGTTAAATGCTTCAAAAAATGTATTCTACCATAATCTATTTTATTGCGCTTACAGGAGATTGATTAAAGTTTTAATAATTGTGAAATATTACAAAATTTTACACCATATTTTAAATTTAAGCTTTAATCCACCATGCGGTAAGCAAATTAGGTTTTGGGCATAGTCGGAGCATCTGAGGGGTACTTCATATAGTAATATTTCTATCTTAAAGTATATGTATTATTTATTGTCACAAAAGAAAATTCTTTCAATAAGAGTTGTTCGTGATGTCATTCTTTATAATTTTTGTTCTATATACGATTTGAGAAAAAGTGCAAAATTTGATTTTTCAGTATTTTTTGTTGGAAAAATGAAGTTATGGAAAAATATTTTGAATAATTTTTATCTTAAATTCATTTGACTCAATATATTTAATAATTCGAATGAATATATAAAAAATGTTTCAAATAAATTGTATGTGGAAAGTATTTAATATATTTTAGAAATTGTTTAATTAATTCGGCATAAATATTTTATTAAATCAAACAAAAGAACGAGAAACGTTTAATGAATGTTCGATTCTTCAACCATCGACCATTCGTCATTCTAATGACAACTGACAAGACTAGGGAAATGTCAAATATTAGTGTGAACGCTGCCAACTTAAAAGTGCCGGTAATTTCAAAATTTTAAGGTGACCTCTACAATTTTATATTATATTCTGTACGGTGTGGCCGAAAATACATAATAAATTTAATGGATACTTGCTTTAACACTTTATTTTTACTAAATACAACATAAGTCACATCGTCAAAGAAGAACTGTTATCGCAAAGGTCTTCACCGACAATGAAACGCAGTTTTCAAGAACGTACGGAATCCAAACTCTTTGAATGCACTCCTCTGGATATCAAAAATGTATTCTGCCTGTTTTTTAATATCCTGACAAACATGTCAAACAAACCATCTCCTGGAAATTTTTTATAGCCCAGGACTTTTTTTTAAATTACGACCACATAACAACCACATGTGAAGTCAAAATCTGCAGTGGGATTCTCATCTTTCGATACGTCTCGTATCGAGACGCCTATATTTGTTCAACAGACTGGCGATTCTAATGTATTTCTCTATTCGATAAGTAACGTGTCGAATTCGCATATGAGAATCCCTGAGCAGACCTGACTACTAATTCTATTATTTATCTATCTAATACATGGTCTTTTATTGTTTTTCAGATGTGACGACCTCTGTCCGATCGGAAAACACGGTCCAGAATGTAAATCCGATTGTCGGTGCCAAAACGGTGGTACGTGCGATCCAGAAAACGGTTTTTGTTTCTGCAGGGACGGTTGGACAGGGCCGGTTTGTGCTAATCGATGCCGGTTTGGATTCTGGGGTGTCAACTGTTCTCAACAGTGCGACTGTTACAACGGTGCTTCTTGTCATCATATTAACGGAACATGCGAGTGTCAACCGGGATTTACAGGAGATCGAGTAAGTTTATTAAACATAATCATAATCTTTATTTATATGTATAAATAGGTAAATACAAAATAGTTTAGTACAATTTTCTCTTCTGTTTTTGAACCGACAATTTTAATTTGTAGCTGGCGTTTAGTTCTATATTTGTGCCAAAGGAATTTTTGTAGTTTACCCACTTGGTTCCGTCCCGTTGAGCGTGGCGCACCCTGAACTTAAAAAAATTGTACCTAATGCGATTAGAAACATAAATAATAGATATTATTATTTATAAAAAATTCGGTACTCCACGGAGATTTATAATGTAATCAGTTAATACACTTGTTGAGCTCTATCTTATATTTGTCTAAGTATTTATTTCATATTTATACTGATAACTAATAATATTTTTTTTTCATTATTTATGAATGTAGTACCTACTACAAAAATGGAATTTAATGCTGTGTGGTAAGGAGGCAATCTGAGAATTTCAATTCCTTTTTTTCGGGCCATCTCGTCTCCAATATTTTTTTTAAATTTGTTTTTATGTTGCTTTGCTATTACCAGCAATTTTGCCTTCAAGGATTTAGCAGGACTGATAATATATTTAGAACGAAACCATTTTGTAATATCTTCTTTTTTACTGCTTGTTGTAGGTAGTGACTCCTTTAATCGACTGTGAGAGGATGCATTATCCAAAACAATAACAGAGTTGGTTGGATTTTTTTGTTATAATGTTCTGAAATCAATTGTAAAACATAGGACCATCAATTTATTCATGGTACTCTTCTGTTTTCTTTGACTCGAACATTAACACGTTAATGGACAGTAGGAAAAAGTCGACGGTGCCAAAAATGAAGATTCTTACTTTTGAACAAATTACCCGTATTGCCTTATAAAGTATAGCAAACTGCTCAGAATATGAAAAAAGTTAAAAAGTTTTGATTTACAGGAGTTTGAAAGTTGACGCTGATGCGTCCTGTCATATTTGAAAAGGGAAAATTGCTGCGACACAAATAGGTGTCTTGTTGAAAATATTATATAAATCAGGGGCGTAGCCACAGGGGAGAAAGCGACATCCTCACCTCCTCCGAATCCTTAAAATGTTAATATTTTTATGACCCTCTAGAATACTTCTTTATTCAATTTATTGGCAAATATAATACAATATGTCGAAATATGGAACACCCTCTCCCTTTTGAATAAAGCAACAAAGATCTATCAAAATTATTTTATCCCCAACTAGGAGCTTAAACAAAGGGTAAAATAGTCCAGTCATTTAAGCTTAAATTAGGTAAGAATCTCGGAACTGGAGATACCCAGCTGTAAGTCTGTAAATACTTGTATATTGACACGCTAAAAGTTATCTCAAAACCTACATATGGCAGGGTGTACGCAACTATTAAATTTCAAGGTCAAATGTCACAAAAATCGGTTTTTTGCGCTTTTTTGTAAATATCTCATTTTTTATGGGTTTTTTTGCTATTTGTATTTATTATCAATATTGTAGAATACAAAATTCTCTACAAATTTTGTTTAAAAAAATTCAGATTACAGTAAGAACGTAAAAGCTATGGAGCAGCAGAGAAGATGAAACAATAGTTGTACCAGTTACTCAAGAAAAATTCTTATCAAATCGAAATAACAAAGATATGCTCATTAATATGTTAATTGAAAAATTACAAGCTGCAAATATTACTACTAAACAAGCCAGAGATAATGCTGATGTTCTTATTGTTGAAACTGCAATTGAAGAATCAAATTCTAAAAAAACTGCAGTTATAATAGGACAAGATATTGATTTACTTGTCATTTTAATTGGGCGTACACTGTCTTACGAACAAGACATTTTCTTTAAAAAAGTTGGGAAAGGAAATGTAAAAACGGGGATATACTTGACTAAAAGTTTTGATAATTATCCTCATTCCAAAACACATATTTTATTTCTGCACGCATTAAGTGGCTGTGACACAATTTCTGCACTTTTTAAGAAGGGAAAAAATCATTTTTTAAAGTTTTTGAGAAACTGACAAATTTGAATGAACTAGCTGCAGCATTTGAGAAAGAAAATTGTTCGGCCCAGAGATTATTAGAGAGTGGAACTCAAATCTTATTGGCAGTCTATAATGCTCCGAAATCTGTGAAAAGTCTCGATCATCTTCGTTATATGCATTACGTCAAGTCTACAAAACTTAATTAACCTGTGCAGCTTTCAAATATTCCACCAACAAAAGCAGCTGCTCATCAACCTTTCAAACGTGTATATTATTAAGTTCAAACTTGGTTAAGGCATGATTTGGAACCCCAGGTATGGAGTTGGGCAATGCGAAACGATTTTCAGGAGCCTATCATGACAATTTTACCACCTGCTCCAGAAGATTTGCTAAATACAATTTTCTGCAACTGCAAGAGTGGTTGTGGTTCGCGATGCGGATGCAGGAAAGCGGGCTTGCAATGCTCTTTAGCTTGTGGCCAATGTAATGGGCAAGCTTGTCTCAATGCTCTTCCATATCAGAGCGACATTAACGAAGATGGAACCTTTGACCCCGAAATCATGGAAGAACTTGAGAGAAATGTCGTTGAAGACGATAATGAAGACCAGTTTGAAATTTACCAGCAGCCGGAAGACGACGATGAAGAGGAAGAAGATTATTAAAATTATAAATTGTAGTTTTTGTACCTTTTATTCCATTTTTTTACTTTTAATAAAAATAAATGTATTGAATGAAATTTTTTAATAAAAAGATTAATTCATAATTTATTTGTTTTTTTTTTTATCATGTAAGAATTTATTAATATTAATTAGGTTAAAATTCAAATATAATTCCTATATTTTCATTAACAATTTTGCAATTACATGGGCAGGTAAGTGTTGTTAAATAAATTAATACTAAATAAAAAGTGGATAGGTTAGGAAAAAAAATGATAAAATATAATATAATAGTTAATAAAAATTGACAAATATTTATAATCATTGATTTATCGATATTTCATCAACTATATATGGCGCGTTTTCGACCGGAGGCACCGGTTGACCTGAAGTGATGCTGTGACCGCGCGCTCTCCGTCATCTTTCTCGAAAACGGTTCACCGTATGAAAAATTTTTTTAAACAAAATTTTTAGAGAATTTTGTATTCTACAATATTGATAATAAATGCAAATAGCAAAAAAACCCATAGGAAATGAGATATTTACAAAAAAAGCGCAAAAAAGCGATTTTTGTGACCTTTGACCTTGAAATTTAATAGATGCGTACACCCTACCATATGTAGGTTTTGAGACAACTTTTAGGGTGTCAATATACAAGTATTTACAGACTTACAGCTGGGTATCTCGAATTCCGAGGTGAACTTACTATAATGATTGGACTAAAAACACATAAATAAAAAAAACACGAATATAACTAATTAAATCATTTGTCCTAGGTTACGCCCTTTTTCTAAACAATTTGGACATACTTAGAAGATGTTTTTCTAACTTTATTTCTAAACTTATTCACGACTGGAAAACTAATTTTAAACAAAACCTAAAAACATCTAAAATAAGTAAATAAAATTTTATTGTCTTTGAGTATACCGTTCCTCAAAGCATATTTCGCATAGAGAAGGTTTTTCAGAACAACCTTTCCATATTAAGCTTGTTTCTCGCCTGATTTCATTTTTTGAACACATTCTGCATTTTAGAAAAACAGATTTTTGTTGATTTTTCTCAAGGAGTCGCTGAATCTCTTTCGGGTCAGTGTCCCTCTTGGTTCTGAGGTCTGGGTCTTTCTTCAGGATGGCTATAGCAGACATGATGCATCTTTTTGCCAAACATATCTACATCTTGGGGTAACTAAGTTAAAGATATAATGAGTTCGTCTCTAAATTCAAAAAAATCATGAGCCTCCTCTGCAATATTTTCTATATAAGTAAAAAGTGTTCCACGTAGTCAAATCCAAAAGGTATAAGATAATTTTTTTATACCATCTAATGGTTTTTCTAGTTGTATTATAAATTGAAGCCATCTGATCTTCCCGATCAACACCGGACATGTGATCGTTGTAACAAGCTACTTCTCTGTGTTTTTCTTGACCATATTTCACGTTTGTCTTTCCATTTAGACACTTTTTCATTGAAATGTATTGCTACCTCGTAAACCGTTGGTAACACAAAGTTGGTTAAATGGGGAAAAAGTTGCATATTTCGAAGTCCAATCTGAGGGCGTTTTGAAAACTAAAATATCAGGTCCGGTTTCCGAGATATTCGATAAAAAACAAATAAGTACCATTTCTTTATTCCGCTACAGAACGTTTATTTGCAAAAATAGACAAAAACTCATTTGGAGTTTTTTGTTTTATATCAAATTGTGCGTATGATAGCGTATTTAGTTTTTTTATCCGACGTTTCGTAAATGCAGGACCACCATCAACTTCTTTATTTGAATATGGACCAATATTTTCCTGGCTCATAATTTTAATGCATGTTCAATGTTGAATACAATGATGTAATAACATATTGTGATTAGTCAACATTTCGGAAGATTTGAACATCATCAGGTAAGTTTACAAGTACGGACCTGTGTTTTGTTAGTTAAAAATATTTGAATTAGTAAATGATGTATTATCAGTGTAAGAAATCAGGTACGTTTACTTGTACAGACCTGTATTATAAATTATTTGAAATACACAACTACATTTTAAATGCTTAAAATAATTTAATAAAAAAAAAATATGTATTTAACTACTTAATCACGTCAGAAACAAATAAATGAAAACAATGATTAACGATAAGAGAAAAACTACAGTAGTTGCTCAAAATGTCCTCCTTCTTCTTGAATACATAAGTCAATACGGTCTGTCATTTGAGCTATGCTGGCAGAAACCATTTGTGGAGTGATATTATTAAACGCATTAATTATCCTATCTCGTAATTGATTTAAGTCATTTGGAATACCATCATAATATACTTTATTTTTGATATATCCCCATACAAAATAATCCATAGGATTTAAGCAGGGTGACCTAGGGGGCCATCGAATAGGTCCATGTGTACCAAACCACCTCCTGGGAAATCTTTCGTTTAAATAATTTCTGATTAATGCAGCATTATGTGGCCCACAGCCATCTTGCATAAAATAAATATTTCTTCGATCACCTAAAGGAAGATTATCTAACATATCTTCTAGCAATTGTAAATAGTTGTGTTGGTTGAGGTTTCGGTCAATAAAAATAGGACCAATTATTTTATTATTGAGTATTCCACACCATAAGTTTATTGAAAATCTAATTTGGGGTCTTACTTCTTGAATTAAATGTGGGTTGTCGGTGGCATAAAAATGTTTATTTTTTCTATTAAATATTCCACTATTAGTAAATGTCGATTCATCTGTCCATAAAATTCGTCCATGAAAGGATACATCATTATTTAATTTTCGTTTATACCAACGGCAAAATTCTATTCTACGATTATAATCTCCAGGATGTAGCTTTTGTACAGTTTGGAATTTGTAATCATGATACTTATGTTTTTTAAGAATGTTTTTCACAGTACTTGCAGAAACTCCACATTCTCGGCTTATTGCTCTAGACGACGTTTCAGGGTTGATATAAACTTGAGACAAAACATTTATTTCATTTATTGTATTACGTTTTAAATATTTACCACGTTTTTTTTCAATATTTCCTTCGTGAGCCATATTTAACGCTATCCTATAATAAATTAATAAAGATGGTTGCCTCCTTCCTGGATACAACTGAAGGTATCTTTCTGCAGCTTCTCCACTATTTCTGTTACATTTTATGTACACATCGTACATATCTTTTTTCTCACTTCTACTGTAACGAACCATATTTTCAATACCCTAATTAAAAATATACCAATGCTTTTATCCGATACCAGACTGTCAAATATACAATAATAAAATGTGACATGCCAGGTTAACTTGATTTAAATTTATCTGTATAATAATCAAGACGTGTTGCTAGATATACAATTATTATTGTAAGTAGGTATCTATCTGCAGTTTGTTAACTTTTTCTTTTTTATACTATGAGGAACCATTATCAGTTTAAAAAATCCAACAAAATATGACAAATCAGGCTAACTTTATGTATTTAAAAATCGGGATGTACTTTATTTATAGATTAATATTGGGATTGGTCAAGTGCAAAAACCATAAAAATGGAAAATATTTTTTAGCAAATGTGTAAACGAACATGTTGTCTTGATGTAAAGTTAAAAGTTTGACTTTGGTATTTATTATTTATAATCTCTTACAACGATAATACATCATTTACTAATTCAAATATTTTTAACTAACAAAACACAGGTCCGTACTTGTAAACTTACCTGATGATGTTCAAATCTTCCGAAATGTTGACTAATCACAATATGTTATTACATCATTGTATTCAACATTGAACATGCATTAAAATTATGAGCCAGGAAAATATTGGTCCATATTCAAATAAAGAAGTTGATGGTGGTCCTGCATTTACGAAACGTCGGATAAAAAAACTAAATACGCTATCATACGCACAATTTGATATAAAACAAAAAACTCCAAATGAGTTTTTGTCTATTTTTGCAAATAAACGTTCTGTAGCGGAATAAAGAAATGGTACTTATTTGTTTTTTATCGAATATCTCGGAAACCGGACCTGATATTTTAGTTTTCAAAACGCCCTCAGATTGGACTTCGAAATATGCAACTTTTTCCCCATTTAACCAACTTTGTGTTACCAACGGTTTACGAGATAGCAATACATTTCAATGAAAAAGTGGCCACCCTGTATACGTTCTACTTGCGCACCCAAAAATGTTCACCGCGCTTTAATTTTCTTTTCACTAGGTCTTTGGGATTACCTCGGCGGTTAGACCTAAGGGTACCATTAGTATGCGTTTTTAATTCTAATAATTTTTCGGACAATGCAACACTATTATAATAATTGTTCATAAACAACTCGTGGCTTTTTGTAGGTAAGGTTCCATTAGATGAAAAACTAAGTTTTCTTTTGTAGCATTACCACGTCCACCATTATTTTTAGTATCCTGTCCACTGTACATTTCTAAATATAACACATACCCATCAGATGTCGCTGATAAAACTATTCCGTATTTGTCTTTTTTGTTCTTGATGTAAACTCTAAATCCAAGTGTGTCTCGAAAATGTAGTAACGATTCATCCAAAGATAATTCTTTAGTAGGTACGTAAGCAGCTTAGAATTGAGATCTAAACATATCAACGATTGTCTGGACTTTTTTCTTTCTTTTTAAATTTGGCGCAGAACCACACAAAATCTGTAATATTTGCTCCTATCTCCATGTCGATATTACAAAAGAAAATACAGGATGATAATAAAGGACATTTTTAGAAGAAAAAATCAATGAACGTTGCAGATTGGTACTTGGCCTGGGAAGGGGTGAGGAATTTTTGTCAATATTTATTTTGACCCCAACACTATCTTCATCGAAACCGAAAGTGGGAATTGGATTTCTGTTACAGTGCGGTATTTACATTTTTAAATAAGAAATGAAGACGATTATTTTTTATTCTAGTGCTTAGATGTTTGCCCCGAAGGAACATTCGGAATGAATTGCAGTGAAAAATGTAACTGCTATAATGGCGCCAAATGCTCAAACAAAAATGGAACATGCATATGTTCTAAAGGATGGCGCGGAAAAACTTGCCAAAAGAGAACCTGTCCTGATGGTTACTACGGGTCTTCTTGTCAGAAGATGTGCCAGTGTAACAAAGAAAACACCGAAATGTAAGTAACAATTTTTTGTAATTTTAAATGTTATTGTGACAATTTGTCTACTGAATCATAGATAATATCTATTCTTTTAACAACAAATAAAAATACACACTTTATACAGTGTGGAAACCACTTATGGAATAAAATTCATTATGTCATTATTTTAGAAAATTATAAAAAATGCCGAGACATGTCAACTTTTGAATTGAATTGTGCGTTATGTAAACATAAATTTAAATGTACAGGGTGATTCACGCAAGTATGCCATAGTCGGTGTTGTTTTTTTTTAATGAAACACCCTATATATTTGCATACATACATTATTCAGTTTGTTGGAATCGGTACATTAAGAGGATTTAAAAAATATGCAAATATACAGGGTGTTTCATTAAAAAAAAAACAACACCGACTATAGCATACTTGCGTGAATCACCCTGTACATTTAAATTTATGTTTACATAACGCACAACTCAATTCAAAAGTTGACGTGTCTCGGCATTTTTTACAATTTTCTAAAATAATGACATAAAGAATTTTATTCCATAAGTGGTTTCCACACTGTATATAAAATAGACAGTTCTAAAATAATGCAATGATAATTTTAATCTACAACAACTTATTATCTAAATTGCACCAAGTCTAGAGATTAAGTCTTTCCTGGAAATGATAAATATAGTTTGCAAACAAAGATCAATTTATGATTTTTATCTCCAGTGAAGTAAGCTCAAAATATTTGCTATCTTATTTTTATTTAGGACATGTTCATTTGTTTATATCTGAGATTAACCTATGATTAGAAGCAAGTGCAGCATTCAATGTATGTAAGAAACAATATAAAATTATAATGAAACACGCTAATAACGTAGCAAACTAAATTTATTCCAATTCATACGACGAATATGTCTTGACCAGTGTTGCCACCAGCCGATGAAGAAATTATCGTGGTGCTGCCAAAATTATCGATTTTTCTTGAAAAATATAGTACAATTTTCTTTATTTTGTTGTTTTGGAAAACAAACAACGTCATGCTTATTTTAATTCATTTATAATCGTGTTTATACGATGTTATTGATCTATTCATCTTTTGTGTAATATTAAAATTGTAGCATTCACAATTTACACTTTGAGAGGCTAATAATAGTGAATTTACAGTACCACTGTATCAATTCTATAAACATCATTTTATTAGATAAGTCACGAACTTGGGAATTTGTTTACCAGTATTTTTCAATTAATGTTTCATTAGTTACCTCTCCATTTAATTTTGACTAGCAATACAGTCACCACGCTACTGATTATCAATTTCATGCAAAGTTCAATGTTTCCGGTTTTAAAATTCTAGGGAACCCCGTGTAGTCGGTGGGATTCCCCGCTCCGTGAAGCAAGAGATGTTTTCCAAATACCGGAATAATTATGTAGATGGTGCTTTGATTTTTATTGTAATGTAGCTTTTTTTAATTGCCAAGAGCACTGATTAAATTAAATAATTTTAATTTGTTTGTTAAATTGGTTTCTATTCATTTCTATTCATTTCTATTCATTTCTATTCATTTCTATTCATTTCTATTCATTTCTATTCATTTCTATTCATTTCTATTCATTTCTATTCATTTCTATTCATTTCTATTCATTTCTATTCATTTCTATTCATTTCTATTCATTTCTATTCATTTCTATTCATTTCTATTCATTTCTATTCATTTCTATTCATTTCTATTCATTTCTATTCATTTATATTCATTTCTATTCATTTCTATTCATTTCTATTCATTTCTATTCATTTCTATTCATTTCTATTCATTTCTATTCATTTCTATTCATTTCTATTCATTTCTATTCATTTCTATTCATTTCTATTCATTTCTATTCATTTCTATTCATTTCTATTCATTTCTATTCATTTCTATTCATTTCTATTCATTTCTATTCATTTCTATTCATTTCTATTCATTTCTATTCATTTCTATTCATTTCTATTCATTTCTATTCATTTCTATTCATTTCTATTCATTTCTATTCATTTCTATTCATTTCTATTCATTTCTATTCATTTCTATTCATTTCTATTCATTTCTATTCATTTCTATTCATTTCTATTCATTTCTATTCATTTCTATTCATTTCTATTCATTTCTATTCATTTCTATTCATTTCTATTCATTTCTATTCATTTCTATTCATTTCTATTCATTTCTATTCATTTCTATTCATTTCTATTCATTTCTATTCATTTCTATTCATTTCTATTCATTTCTATTCATTTCTATTCATTTCTATTCATTTCTATTCATTTCTATTCATTTCTATTCATTTCTATTCATTTCTATTCATTTCTATTCATTTCTATTCATTTCTATTCATTTCTATTCATTTCTATTCATTTCTATTCATTTCTATTCATTTCTATTCATTTCTATTCATTTCTATTCATTTCTATTCATTTCTATTCATTTCTATTCATTTCTATTCATTTCTATTCATTTCTATTCATTTCTATTCATTTCTATTCATTTCTATTCATTTCTATTCATTTCTATTCATTTCTATTCATTTCTATTCATTTCTATTCATTTCTATTCATTTCTATTCATTTCTATTCATTTCTATTCATTTCTATTCATTTCTATTCATTTCTATTCATTTCTATTCATTTCTATTCATTTCTATTCATTTCTATTCATTTCTATTCATTTCTATTCATTTCTATTCATTTCTATTCATTTCTATTCATTTCTATTCATTTCTATTCATTTCTATTCATTTCTATTCATTTCTATTCATTTCTATTCATTTCTATTCATTTCTATTCATTTCTATTCATTTCTATTCATTTCTATTCATTTCTATTCATTTCTATTCATTTCTATTCATTTCTATTCATTTCTATTCATTTCTATTCATTTCTATTCATTTCTATTCATTTCTATTCATTTCTATTCATTTCTATTCATTTCTATTCATTTCTATTCATTTCTATTCATTTCTATTCATTTCTATTCATTTCTATTCATTTCTATTCATTTCTATTCATTTCTATTCATTTCTATTCATTTCTATTCATTTCTATTCATTTCTATTCATTTCTATTCATTTCTATTCATTTCTATTCATTTCTATTCATTTCTATTCATTTCTATTCATTTCTATTCATTTCTATTCATTTCTATTCATTTCTATTCATTTCTATTCATTTCTATTCATTTCTATTCATTTCTATTCATTTCTATTCATTTCTATTCATTTCTATTCATTTCTATTCATTTCTATTCATTTCTATTCATTTCTATTCATTTCTATTCATTTCTATTCATTTCTATTCATTTCTATTCATTTCTATTCATTTCTATTCATTTCTATTCATTTCTATTCATTTCTATTCATTTCTATTCATTTCTATTCATTTCTATTCATTTCTATTCATTTCTATTCATTTCTATTCATTTCTATTCATTTCTATTCATTTCTATTCATTTCTATTCATTTCTATTCATTTCTATTCATTTCTATTCATTTCTATTCATTTCTATTCATTTCTATTCATTTCTATTCATTTCTATTCATTTCTATTCATTTCTATTCATTTCTATTCATTTCTATTCATTTCTATTCATTTCTATTCATTTCTATTCATTTCTATTCATTTCTATTCATTTCTATTCATTTCTATTCATTTCTATTCATTTCTATTCATTTCTATTCATTTCTATTCATTTCTATTCATTTCTATTCATTTCTATTCATTTCTATTCATTTCTATTCATTTCTATTCATTTCTATTCATTTCTATTCATTTCTATTCATTTCTATTCATTTCTATTCATTTCTATTCATTTCTATTCATTTCTATTCATTTCTATTCATTTCTATTCATTTCTATTCATTTCTATTCATTTCTATTCATTTCTATTCATTTCTATTCATTTCTATTCATTTCTATTCATTTCTATTCATTTCTATTCATTTCTATTCATTTCTATTCATTTCTATTCATTTCTATTCATTTCTATTCATTTCTATTCATTTCTATTCATTTCTATTCATTTCTATTCATTTCTATTCATTTCTATTCATTTCTATTCATTTCTATTCATTTCTATTCATTTCTATTCATTTCTATTCATTTCTATTCATTTCTATTCATTTCTATTCATTTCTATTCATTTCTATTCATTTCTATAAATTTATATGAATTTTTATGAATTTTTATGAATTTCTATGAATTATGTACATTTCTATGAATTATAGACGAATATCGTGTAAGGAATATTTAAAAAAATTAATTAACAATTAATATTTAAATTTTCAAATTTGGTTACCCTCTTTTTCTATTTTTAATCATTTATCTATGGAGAGCTTTGAATATGTTTGGAATTGTGTATCGACTGTTCGTCTGTCTGCGTGTCTATGAATTTTTATGAAATTCTATCAATCTCTATCAATTTCTACTAATTTATATGAATTATAGACTTATATCTTGTAAGGTATATTTTAAAAAATTGAGCACTTCTATTATTTTTTTGAATTGTGTGTCTTTATTCGTATAAACATAAATAAACTTTTTTACAATAATAAATGTCACAGTTATCCAACGAGACAAAACCACCTTCTTTATTTGGCCCTAGCCAGAGAGTAACCTATTACTTGCCAAATTATACGAGTTCAAAAATGTATAACATATTATCTTAAGTTATAAAGCACGTAATAATATTGGACAATTTAAAATTTATCTTTATGTATTTCTAGTCAAAAATGTTGTTTATACACTCGATTAATTTTTTGCATTTAAAAACTAATTTAATTTTGTTTTAATTTGTAATTTAGTTGTAGGTAGTTTATACATATTACACATTATGACAATAATTATTAATATTGTCATATGTAAATGGAAATATAAATAAATATATTTAAATAAAAAAAACAGTATTGTTTCTTGATAATATGATACTTAAAGCAGAAAAAGATTGAAGCAATTAATGGCGGGGTTAAAACGGAATTTCCATAGGCGTGCTTATATTTTAAACGATGGAGACGAAACAAATAATTTCCACAGGCGTGCTTAATTTTTGCATTTAACTTTGTCTAAAAATAATTATTTATTTATATTTACTACAAAATTATACTTTTATGTTTATATTTTCTAGGTGTCATCCTTGGACAGGCGAATGCGAATGCAAAGCAGGATGGAACTCCAACGATTGTACCAGACTTTGTCCCATATTGACTTACGGAAAAGGATGTCACGGAATATGCAATTGTAAAAACAACGCTCAGTGTTCCCCCGTTAATGGTACGTGCATTTGCCAACCCGGTTTTACAGGCGTAGATTGCGCGAATACTTGCCCGGACGGCAGCTTTGGAGAGGACTGTGCTCAGAAATGCGATTGTAAGTAGTTTGTTTCAGTAAAAATATTTAGAATGCTTTGAGGTCTATATTTCTGTGGGTACTATTAGAAAATGGAGTTGCTGTAGGTATTTCTGAGGTAAAGATAACATCTTTTACTCAAATATTGTGAGAATGCTTTAGAAAGTCCATTAGACCCTTGTTTTTTTAAAATTATTTGTAACTTATTTTTACTAAAAACTTCTTGTTGCAAATCATTTTTTCAATATTCTACATTCTTTTAGTAAATAAAGCCCTTTGGCTTCTTGATATTTTCTTGATAGTGACTAGAGGCATGCGCATTGTGTAAGCCCCGGCAAATTATTTAAAAATGATACTTGATTTTAATAATTTAAAACGTTTTTATTAATAAATTTCAGGCAAAAACGGAGCAAAATGTTCGACTGAGACTGGCCAGTGTCAATGTCCATCCGGTTGGGAAGGACAGCAATGTGATAGGCCGTGCAGTAACAACTCCTTCGGCGATCATTGTAATAGTAAATGCTTATGTAAAAACGGCGCTTCCTGTAATCCAGTAAATGGTAAGTCAATAAAATGTTACATTTTAAAGTTTGCAAAGTTAGATGCACGTTAATTTTATTTTTATAATTTATTATTAGAGTAATTCCAGTATTAGAAGTGATGATTTTAATGATCGACAAACCAAAACGTAAAATCAATTATTGTAAAAATGAAGTTTTTAATTGTCACTATATTTGATCGTCAGAATGATCAGAACTTGGACTCATAAATGCATTTACAATAAAGTTTAAAACAACACACATTATAGTTGGAGGTAAAGATATTCTTTTTCTTTCCGCACAACAAAGGGGCTCGTATAAAAACTCGTTCAACAGCAACCCAGTTGTATTTTACGCTTTAAAGAAGAATTGTTATACGTACTTAAATATTATCACATTATTCGCATAATTTCCTTCTTCTATTATTTAATAATGTGACCTCCCACCCCCTGGTCTTGTAGATAATTATTAAAAGCCCGCATTTTAATTTAACTACCTCCCTCCCCTTGTGAAATTCAAAGAAATTCATACTTACTGTATATGGCCTTTTCCTCTAGTAGTGTAGTAATCGTCTAATTAATTAATTGATAATTTATATACCCACGTTGTGATAATGTTAATTAAAATAAACCAGGATTCGATGCAAAGTTTGGTTCAAATTTGTAAATGAAATAATGCTCAAAGTATATTTAACTTCATTTATTTTCTTGATCTCCAATAAAATAAATATGTACAGATTATTTTAATATAAGGTAGACCTCACATGTGTCTCGCCCAAACAACAGGCCACAGGCCACTTGCCATCAAATATTTGTAATAAACAATTCTTGAGAATAGACAGCAGACGTCCTCAGAATTGCACTATCTTTAATAATTCTTTGTTTCATTGTTTTCTTTTTTATATAGGTGCGCTTACTGAGATACCGTCGTTGCAATAACAGGCGGATATCCCTTATGTTTCAGCCTCACCTAGGGGGGTTTTATGTAGATGTAGTCTTACTAGAATAGAGCCAGAGCAATACTAGCGAACTACCCCTTATGTTCAGATCTACCTACGGTGCGAAGCTTGAAAGATAATTATCTAAGATAGCCCAACCCTGTAGTAACATCAAGCATATTCGGATAAATGTGAGTCTAGTCGTCCGATGTGTCATTTACCCCAATCAGCTGAGCTGTTATTTGCGAGGGTTCATTGACAGTTCGGTAACCAGACTCTTATTATCTTTTACGGTGATATATTAATTTGAAGGCAATATGGCCCATAGCATACACATCTGGACGAGCTAAATGCGACGTCGGCTAGCAATAAATTCCTCAAAGGTAAAGATTTACCATTATTGAATAATAATGAGTTACACAATAATAATTATTATTCAACAATAAATTCCCATTTTTACAAATTTAATTTGGTTGTTATTAACTCACCATCGGATAAACAGGCCGTTGGGTTGATATTATCGTCTGTTTCTATTTCAGACATTTTATATTTTTGTATTCTGGATAATTAGCAGGGACGTTGAGCGATGGATGGGGACGTCGGATAAAGAGATGACATAGTGACGTCGAGCGTCGAGACGTTGGGCGTCGGGATGAATATAATGGTAGGAAATACTAAGTGGTATTAGAAGTGACATCGTTGGGACGTCGAAAGGTAGGGAAGTAGAACGGAGAGGCGTTGGGCGTCGAGACGTTGACACCTTTGGGAAATAGGAGGTATTGTGGGATAGACGTCGTTTAGGAAGAGCGTTTAGGAAAGTTACCGACTGTATAACTGGGTACTGACAGTAAGGTGATTGCTTTGAATGTAAAATAACAAATGTATGTTTGCACATCAAATGACAAAAATTGAATGAAACTGAGCTAATTTAACTCTGGTTTTTATACACAGTTTAATCGTTTTTGTGACGTCTCTATCGTTTTGTTTCTCATAGAAAATACGAATTTAGGTGGATAGGGGGGGTGGCTGATTTATTACTTGCCTTGGAAAGTTTGTGTATCGAAAACAACGTTCCTATTCAAAACTGACTTAAGATAAGTGCGTTAAGAGTTTAAATGATTATTACTTCGTGTTGTATGGTGGTTTTAGATTGCGTTCCCAGACACTTTTAAGAAATTGGATCTCTTACGGGCTGGGTTATAGATGTTATTTATTAGGTGTCGTAAATAAGATTTAATTATCTGGGAGATTTTTGTTAAATGAAGAATTTGGTATTTAATAAGAATGCAACTTTTTTAATAAAATGGAATTAATAAATGATTATGGTACCTGGGTGCGGTAGGTTACAATAAATATCACTAAATTTAGTTTTAAAGGCAACACTTACGAAATTGATCCGAAATAAATATTCACGACTTGTAATAGAAATCGCTATGAAACTATAATATTTCATCTACTATTTTATTTACATGAAATATTTAAAAATTACATTAGATATAAAAAATCAATGTAGTATTTTTACGAAAAATGCTTGAACGACTGTTATTTGTATCCTCTTATAAAAAAATTAAGTTACTTTGGTCTGGCTTTAATTTTTAAAGTGATTGAATTATGTCAACACGTCAAGGTTACATTCCTAGAGAAGGAAAACAGGAACAATACGATGTTAATTTCCAAAATATAACGTAAACCAATAAATACTTGGTTACATTTACTAACGTAAAAATATAACCAAAATGGACAATCAAATCTCATCAGAACTATCATCTGCACTTGACGTGTCATTCAAGTTTATAATGCAAGAATGAGCCGCAAATATTCGATGATTATTTTCAATTTTGGTAACACGGAGAACGCAATTGGAGCATAATTCTTGAGATATACCTCCAACAACTTCTCTGAAAATATCTAAAACGGTTTCAGACAATGCAGGATTAATTTTTTCTTACCTCCCTTTGTTTAAGTGGTAAGGGGCATTATCCATTACTATAACAGCATTTGGTGGCAAATTAGAAATTAATTGTTCACCAAACCATTTCTCGAACAAGGTAGATGTCATAATATTGGTGATAATCTGCTGAACAACTCAAAATATCCTTTGTTGATAATAGCAAGCAATTCGACACAAAACCGTTTTCCAATACCGGAATGTAATATTATAATACGTTTTCCTCTATTTGGAGGAGCATTCACAAAACATTTAGCAGATTGATCACTCCTTCCTTTTTTTACAATATCATGAGTATCGCACCAAGTCTCATCAAGATGGACTATGAATCAATCTTGTCGAGCTTCATCTACTCTAGTGACGTATTCGTTACGTAAAATCATAATTCTTTAAGATTCCCTAATATGATGTCTTCTATTTAAGGTAGGATATCTAAAACCCAAAGAATAGAGTAATTTTCTAGTTTTTTTGTCAAATTTGTAAGGGAAACCGAGAATCATCTTTATTTCATTTTTAATCATTTGAAAATACGACACGATATTATTAAAATAAAAATTACAAACCTTTCTTCTGATATTCTCCATCATGCAGGGACAAATACAACAACATTCTAAAACAAAATCCAGACAAAAAAGGGCTTGGCATCCACTTGCTCTGGAAAACGATCGCGAAGAACTAAATGGGGCAATACTTGAGGCATTAAGGCATATAAATCAAGCTGCCCCATTCAAAGAAATAGTACTAGTAGGGATGCTCCTTGGTGAAACCGCCATCTGTCAAACTTACGATCCGAAGTGCGGAAGCTCTATAATAGGGCCAAGCACAGCGGAGATTGGCAGAGCTACACCGAGGCGCCTACTACCTACAACAAAGAAATCAGGAAAACTAAACGTAACAGCTTTAGAAAATTTTGCGAGGATATTAACTCTACACCGGCGGCAGCGAGACTGCACAGTGCCCTGGCAAAAGGGAGAGTTGATACAGTTATGGCATTAAAGAAACCAATGAAAGCTTCACGGAGAGTGAGGAGGAAAGAGCTCGCCTCTTACTCGATACTCACTTTCCTGGAAGCACACCTTTTCTAATAAGGGACACAACTAAGGTAAGCAGGTCCCCAAGAGAGACCGCTATAGTGGCCAAACACATATGCAGCAGAAATCGGCTAAAACGGGCCGTAAACACTTTTAAACCGTTTAAGTCTCCAGGTGTGGATGGAATATTTCCTGCCCTGCTTCAGCAGGCACAGGAGGAATTCCTACCACACATAATCCGGCTATCCCGGAGCAGTCTGGAGCTGGGAAATATACCAGAAGCATGGAGAAGGGCCAGAGTCTCCTTTATTTTAAAAGTAGGGAAAAAGGATACCACACATCCTAAATCCTTCCGACCAATCAGCCTCACATCTTTTCTATTAAAAACAATGAAGAAGGCTGTTGATAATTATATCAGAACGGAAATCCTGGAGAGGGTGCCACTCCACCACAGCCAACACGCATACCGAGCAGGAAGATCTACAGAAACTGGCATGGTACAGTTGACTGACGTAATCCAGGATGCACTGACAAGCAAAGAAACGGTCGTGTGTGCCTACCTAGACATAAAAGGAGCTTTTGACAACACGCCACACGAATCTGTAAAAAGAGCACTTGCATACAGATGAGCAGATAACATCACATCCAGATGGATGGCTCAGCTGTTATCTACGAGAACTGCAGAGACACAAATAGGACAGGACACCATCTCCATCTGCACAACCAGAGGATGTCCAGTGGGGAGTTCTATGCTCACTAATGTGGAGCCTAACCGTAGACGAACTTCTATGCAGAATGACTGACCTCGGCATAACCTGTCGAAGGTTATGCCGACGACATAGTCATATTTGCTAGAGGCAAGTTTAGTAATATCCTGTGTGATATAGTCCAACGGGGACTAGAACATGCCAAAAGATGTCCCGTGAAGTGGGACTTAGTATAAACCATACAAAAACAACACTAGTAGCCTTTTCAAGGAAAAGAAAACTTAATCTCAAAACCGTTAAATTAGACGGGATAGATATAGAATGGAAAAATGAAGTCAAATATCTAGACCTAACCCTGGACAACAATCTCCTCTTGTACAAACTCCTCTTGTACAAACTCCTCTTGTACAAAGGAGAGAAGGAAGTAGTAAATAAGGCCACAAAAGCCCTAATGGTATTCAGAAACATTGCAGGCAAACGATGGGGATGTAACCCAAACATGCTGCGATGGATGTATACTGCAATAGTGAGACCAATCATCACTTACGGGGCTATAGCCTGGAGTAACAGAACTAGTAGTTACTACGAGAGCTAATATCTCAAAAGTATAAAGACTAGCCTGTGTTTGCATTACTGGTGCAATGAGAACCTGTCCTACGGCCGCAACGGAGGTGATCTTAAACCTCACCCCTCTACATTTGATGATAGAGAATGTGGCAAAAAGGACACGATATAGAATGATCAGGAACGGAGTAATCAGGTAAAAGTCTACTTGCTTCAGGACTAAATATACCTGGGACATGCCCTAGGATGAAATGCTGAAAAAGTACAGTTTTGTGAAGAACTTCAAAACCACAGAACTGGGCTGCAAGAAAGAATGGAGTCAATAATCCATCGCGCTTGCAACCGAAAGACGTGCTATTCAGTGGTATACGGACGGTTCCAAAACCATAGAAGGAACTGGAATAGGAGTGTATGGGTCGAGAACCAAGCACTCCTAAAGCTCCCTAAAGAGAGAGATTTGCCTAACTTGAAGCAACTTCAAATCCTACACTTCCTTGAGAAAATAGGATTGGAAAGGTCGTTATAGGCATTGAGAAATTTCCTTGGTGCATTGGCGACAGAAGGGGAGGGCACAATAGATCTCTTAGGTCGCAGTGTATTAACACCCCATTCCCAACATAACATCATGCAGTGATCTAGACTATCTAGAGATCTTTGATTCCGCTTTTTTCTTGGATGACATTTCTGACTCGTAATAACTTTTCTAATCGAAGGTTTTAAAATTTTTGTCAAATGTGTATTCTTTCTATGACACCATAATTAGATCCATTATTTTTCAATTTTAATTGGTGGTACATATTTCGAATAACTTTTTGAGTTGAGGGTGACATCTACATATCAAATTTTTGGTTAATATCATCCCCCTCCTCCTCCTCCAATTATGTAGGTCCAATTATGGGATCGCAGCGCGTTGTTTAGGGTAAATGCATTAATAATAATCTAAATAGCAATATTCTAAATAATAACAGAAAAAAATTCAATTTTAGTGTGGCAAAATGAGTTTGCCCTATGTTTACGGGATCAACAAAAATTTTAAAAATATATTATTAAAATTTATCATATATATAAATGCCAATTGTTTGTTTCATTCAATTGTACCATAAACGTTTAAATGGTAATCTTAATAAAGTCTCATCTGTTTACTAGTAATTAATTAATATAAATTTATTCAGCTTGTCACTTTTTTTAATAAAGTATTATCGTACAGTTTTTACATTTTTTACATTTTCTCAGTATATATAATATATTAATATTTGACCCCCACTTATTGAGCCAAAAATTAACATTTTCCACTAGAAAATTTGCAGGTAAAATATAACCTTTTCTTTGTGAATCATCTTGTATAGATAAACAATAATATAAAACTGCCAAAGCCGACTTTGAACTGTTTAAATTTTACAATTTATGTGGATATTTATATATTAATTTAGTTGTTTTTGAGGCGCAACTGATCCTATTTATTTAAAAATTAGTCAATCAGAATTATAATTATTTACATACCTTCAGGTATTACATTATTTTCATCACTTTCGAAGGGCCACCAAGAAGCCATTTTTGTATAAACCAAAAATCCAAACACTAGATAAACAAACTTTGTCCATCTGTGCTCAGTCAACACGGCGATGACACATAGAAGCGTGTCGAATAACCAATTGGAACATAAATTGAACAAAATCACAGAATTACTATTGGATATCCCAGTCCACATGTACGGGCTATCGTGGGCTACTACAAATAGAAATTTGAGAAAGGCTCGAGTCAATCAATAAGAGATGCTAAAATGTAGCTGTTATAATTAATCGAGCCGACAGATTCTAGTCGTACAGCGATGCCAGGCATAAAATATTTATTCGATACTAGCTTCCAGCATATTTGCTTGAAGGGTACTATGAGCATAATTTTTTTTACTGTTTCACAACTGTGTTTTCTAAGCTGAACGTCGGCAGTGTCTTTGTGAATTATATATAGATATATTAATAATACTGATATTTAATTGTGGAATAGTAAAATTTATCTGTGCCGTCTACTATAAATAGATTTAAACTGAGTAGCAGCACTACAATAAGTTTGAGTATTACTGCTATTCAAGACCAATAAAAACCACACTTGCATGTTATGTCCGGAATTTCTTCTTTTGGACTGGCACACATTTTTTCGTTACATTTTGTCGGAAATTTTCATATCGAAAATTAATAAAAACCAAATTTTTACAAAAACTTACTGGTCAAAATTTTCGGATTTCTAATACTGGAATTACTATACTGTTTTTTGCTATTTTTTATTATTGTTTTGGGTTTTGAAATTTATTTTTGATTTTTGCATGGCGTGTTATTAGGTAGTTGTACATGTGGGGCTGGATATACTGGCGAATTTTGCGAAAGCAAATGCCAGCAAGGCTATTTTGGAATCAATTGCGAGCAAGTTTGCCAATGTCAAGAAGGACATCATGCGGGTTGTGATCCAATAACTGGCAAATGTATTTGCAAAAGTCAATGGAAAGGTAGATATTTTTTTCTTCGCAATAGTTTTAATTCATTTACAAATTGCTATACATACATTTGTACTTTTTTTTATATTAAATTTTTTTGCTGACCTTTTTTTTAATATCCTAGAGATGATGGAACAAAACATTTGCTGTAGTACAAAGTATGCGTTACTTATCTAGTATTTATATGAGTGAAGTTAAATCAATTAATGTCGCATGTTGTAGACGTAATTTCCCAACTATATCCGAGTTCTTTGTTAAATTGTAGTAATACTGATTTTTCTCTCTATAAACATTCAATTTTTATTATTTTTCGAATCAAATGTCTTTTACAATGTTTTATCAATAACTTTGAATTAGCATGTATCTAAATAATTTGAGTAACAGTTTCTACTAATTTTTAACATAATTTTCAATTTCCTGCATTTACTAATTTTCGAACTTTTTGTGATTCATCCTTTACCTTGACTTTAGTTGTAGATTATTAAATAATATCTAAATTATAATAGTATGTAGGTATGAAATTTAAATAAATTGTTTCAAAATATTAAATTAAATCCAAAATATAAAATCATTTATCATTCATTATTGTAGGTGTGCTGTGTGAGTCGATGTGCCCGGAAGGCAAATTCGGTACAAACTGCGAAAGGTCTTGTAACTGCCAAAATAACAGCTCTTGTGATCCTGAAACAGGCATATGTTTTTGTGCCAGAGGATGGCAAGGAGAAGAATGTACTACTCCATGTGACGTTGGCTATTATGGTAGTGGTTGTAGACAGAGATGTCCAGAAGTTTCTAAAGGTAATATTTCAATAATTTCTATTTGGGTTTTAACAAAATATTTCTGTTCTTAAGTATTTTGGTAACAAATAAGGAAATTTTCAATTCATAGAATTATTTTTTATGTAAATTCAGCGATAATTCTTTACCACGTTGTCAGATTTCTATGATTCATTTTTATTAGAAAGGGGATATCTCGAGGGTGGTCCCATATAAATTTGATGATGGGATCCATGAAAAAATCACCAAACTCTTAATTTTCTTTTTAATTACTTTTATAAATTGTAGGACCTTAAACAAGAATGCAAGACAATTAACAATGAGTGTTAAGAACGGTACATAAATGATTTTTTTTTCTTTTTCAGGAAATAAGACTTGCGATCATATCACTGGTGAATACATATGTCCGCCCGGATACCGTGGATTTACATGTGAACATCCCTGTCCATTTGGAAGCTATGGAAAGAATTGCGAACAAACTTGTTCTTGTAAAAATGGAGGCGATTGTCATCATGTCACAGGTAAAGCAATACAAAATATCATAACAATATTTTAAATGGTTCAATTTTGCATAAATCCATTTAAAATATAAAATAAACAAATTTATTACAAATATACAACATGAAAATTTGAAATTGTACATACCTAATTGAAATAATAATAATAATAATAAAAAAAAAGAATGAATAAACTATGTAGGTCAATTCATGGTCAAAAGTACATAATGAAAAAAATTGTAATAAAAATTAAAAGTAATAAAAAGAGTGATTGAAAACTAATGGTAGTATTAAATGAAATATTTGAAAAGTTACAAAACCAAAAAATATTTAATGTCTATTCTATATATTAATTTTGTTTATTCTAAAATTTGTATGAAAAATAAATTTTCTAGATAGTTATAAAATACTTTTGCCTAATTGTTTTTCTTTATCAAAAATGATTAATTCTGGGCCATTTTAGGAGACTGTCAATGTTTGCCCGGCTGGATGGGTGCAAACTGCACGACACCGTGTCAACCTGGTAGATTTGGAATAAATTGTAGCCAACATTGTAAATGTTTAAATGGCGGAGAATGCAGAAGAAACGATGGGGTGTGTAGGTGCAAAGCTGGATGGACGGGTACTCAATGTCAAGAATGTAAGTTTTAATTTTATAAAGAACAATATCAAATTATAGGAAATCATAAAACAAAAAATAAACAAAAAATAACAAGAAATCATAAAACAAAAGAACATAAACAGAACAAAATATCATAAAACATAAAAAAACAAAAAAAATATAAAAACTAAGAAACTATAATAAAATATAAAAAACTAAAACAAAAATTATAAGAATAACAAAAAATATAAAACAACTATTAATAAAACAAACAAAAAATAAAAGAAAAAATAAAACATTAAAAAATCATAAACAATGCATAAAAAACTGAAAACTATAAAAAAATATTTAAAAAATAAAAATTAGAAACTATAAAAGTAATTTAAAACTACTAAAAAACTATAAAATACTAAAAAATTATCAAACAAAATATAAAAAACAATCATAAGAAAAACATAAAAAATATGAAAAAAAAAATATTAAAAACTCCCAAAAAATATAAAAAAACTTTTATAAACCCCCAAAAAATAAAAAACTATATAACTATTAAAAAATTATAAGAAATTAAAACAAAAAATCATAAACAAAACATAAATAAACTAAAAAAATATTAAAAATACAAAAACTATAAAAAAACTATAAAAAAACTATAAAAACCTATAAAAAAACTATTAAAAACTATAAAAAACAAAACAATATAAAAAATTATAAAAAAAAACTAAAAATCATAACAAAAACAATCCTAAGAATAACAAAAACTATTAAAAAAACCCCCAAAAAATAAAAAATTATAATAAATCATAAAACAAAAAATCAAATAAAACAAAAAACTATAAAAATAAAAAAAAACTATTTAAAACTATAAAAAAAAATAAAAAACTAAAAAATTATGAAAAATATAACAAACTAAAAGACAATCACAAGAGAAACGTACCAAATAAAAAAACAAAAACTAAACAAAAAATTATATAACAACTAAAAAACTATTAAAACCCCCAAAAAAATAAAACACTATAACAACTAAAAAATTATAAGAAATCAAAACAAAAATCATATACAAAACAAAAATAAACTAATGAACTAAAAAAAATGTAAAAATATAAAAAACTATTGAAAACTATAAAAAACTATTAAAAAAATATAAAAAACTATTAAAAAACTATAAAAAAAACTTTTAAAAAACTCTAAAAAAACTCTAAAAAAACTTTTAAAAAACTAAAAAAAAACTATAAAAAAACTCTAAAAAAACTCTAAAAAAACTATAAAAAAAAACTATAAAAAAACTATAAAAAACTAAAAAAACTATAAAAAAAACTATAAAAAACTATAAAAAAAAACTATTAAAAACTATAAAAAAACTATAGAAAACTAAAAAAACTATAAAAAAACTAAAAAAACCATAAAAAACTAAAAAAACTATAAAAAACTATAAAAAACTAAAAAATACTTTAAAAAATTATATAAAAAAAATATAAGAAATTAAAAGTTGTAAAAACTATAAGAAATAAAAAAATGTAAAAACCATAAAAAAAACTATAAAAAAAATAAAAAAAAATAAAAAAAAACTATTTAAAGCTATAAACAATTTAAAAACTATAAAATACTACTATAAAAACTATAAAAAACTAAAAAAATCATTTAAAAAATATAAAAACCATAAGAAAAACAAAACATAAAAAATAAAAAACTATAACTATTAAAAAGTTATAAGAAATCATAAAACAAAAATTCATAAACAAAACAAACTAAAAACTAAAAAACTATAAAACAAAAAGAACTAAAAAAACTGCACTATAAAAAACTAAAAAATTATAAAAAAATATAAAAAACAATCATAAGAAAAACAAAAAATATAAAAACAAACAAAAACTAAAAAAACACAAATAATTATATAACAACTAAAAAACTATTAAAACCTTAAAAAAAATAAAACACTATATAACTACTAAAAAATTAAAAGAAATCAAAACAAAAAAATCATAAACAAAACATAAACTAGTAAACTATAAAAAAATATAAAAAAAAACTATTAGAAACTAAAACACTATAAAAAATTATATAAAAAAAACTATAAAAAATTAAAAATTGTAAAAACAATAAAAAAACAATAAAAAAATAAAAAAAAACTAAAAAAATCATAAAAAACAATAATAAAAAAAAAAATAAACAAGAACTAAAAAAAAATTATATAACAACAAAAAACTATTAAAACCCCCCAAAAAAATTAAATAAAATTATAAGAAATCATAAAACAAAAAATCATAAACAATACACAAAAAACTAAAATACTATAAAAAAGTACAATAAAACTATAAAAAACTATAAAAAAACTATAAAAGAAATTAAAAACTATAAACAACTAAAAAATTATTAAAAAAATATAAAAAACAAACAAAAACTAAAAAGAATAAAAAATGATATGACTAAAAAATGATTAAGCTCCCCAAAAAATAAAAAACTATATAGCTATTAAAAAATTATAAGAAATCATAAAATAAAAATCATAAACAAAACAAAAAATCATAAACAAAACAAACTAAAATACTATAAACTTTAAAAACTATAAAAATAATTAAAAAAAAAACTATAAACAAACCATAAAAAACTATTTAAAACTAAAAAATTATAAAAAACAAACAAAAACTAAAAAAAAAAACAAAAAATTATATAACAACTAAAAAAACTATTAAAACCCCCCAAAAAAATTATATATAACTATTAAAAAATTATAAGAAATCATAAACAAACCATAAAAAATCATAAATAAACAAAAAAAATTAGAAAAATATAAAAACTATGAGAAATCTAAAAAACTATAAAAAAAAACTATTAAAACTATAAAAAACTATTTAAAAGTATAAAAAACAACTATATAATATATTGTAAAACAACAATAAAAAACTAAAAAAAAAATATGAAAAAATATAGCTATAAAACAACCGTAAAAAATTATCACTTGAAAATTACAATTCGAAATTTCCTTTTTACATAATTATTAATTAATATACTTCTGGTAAATCTTAACAGTTCAGTTTAAAATAGAACTGTCAACTGAATTACATGTTGAAGACGTCAAATTTTACGAATATGACAATTGAAGAACGTTGGCAAGTTGAAGAGCAGTACTTATTCTGTAAACTTTAGCAGTGCTTCTCATATCTAAAGTGTAATGTAATGATGACTTTGTAAAGTAAGCACATGAGCACCACAAATAAAACTTGCCCTTCAGATCAGAAATTCCATAATAATAGAAGTTAAATTTACTATAGAAAATGATTCTTTTTCAGTATGCCCAGAAGGATATTATGGAGATCACTGCATGACGCCCTGCGAATGTGAAAATGACAATTTCATCTGTCATCCAGCAGACGGATGCATCTGCAAACACGGTTACACCGGTGATCATTGTGAAGAATCGAATGTACTCGGTAGGGTCCGACAAATTGAACAAGCCGAAGGCGGTTATGGTGTTATTGTAGCTGTCATCATGGTGTCTATCATATTCATCGCGATAGTGGTGCTGCTTGTTTTCTACTACAGACGTCGTGTGTCTAACTTAAAAACGGAAATAGCGCATGTGCAGTACATAGCGGATCCAAGTGCCTTTTCTCCAGGTATGTGTTACACAAAAAATTCTATATTGAAATTAAAAAAAATATAGGTAATTTATACTGGGTGATCCATTAAAAATACAAAACCAAACATTTACTCAACAGTATCTACCATTAAATTCCATATTTTAAAATTATTTTCGATATTTTCAGTTTGGAACAAAAATGTTTTTTAAATGGAATCACCCTGTACTTATAGATAGCACAAATACGTCTTATGGACGTTCTAAAAACGTCCTGCTTGGACATTCAGGACATCCTTAAAACGTCCATTTCACGGACGTGGACGTCTTATGGACGTCTTTGGAACGTCCATTGTTAATAATCAGGATGTCTTAAGAACGTCCATTTAAGGACATTCCATGGACATTTTCAAAAGCTTGAATGGGGAATAATAGGATGTAAGGAAATTAGTGAAAATAATGAATAATTTCAAAAAAATTTATTTGGAAGCAAATAACCTACAAATAATAAAATTATTGAAACTTTTTCGTCAAATTCATTCCGTCTTTCCTCTTCTTTACGCTTTTCAACCATGCCTGGATTGACAGCAGTTGTTTCTTCTTGATTTGGCCATATTTGCCTTCTCAGTTGAACCTGAAAATAATTTAATAGCTCATTCAAAATGAAAGGCAGATCAATATGAAAATTCAATCTATTTGCGAAAGTTTGCTCTGCTAGACATTATGAATTCACTAACCTTTTATCTTTGAATTATTCACTGGAAAACTCCTCTACTTTACTCTTTTCAACCATGCCTGGATTGACAGCAGTCAGTTTTTTTCTTGATTTGGCCATATTTGCCTTTTCAGTTGAACCTGAAAATAATTTAATCGCTTATTCAAAATGAAAGGCAGATCAATATGAAAATCCAATCTGTTTGTTAAAGTTTGCCCTGCTAGACATTATGAATATACTAACCTTTTAGCTTTGTAGTATTCAATGAAAAACTCCTCTACTTTATTCTTTTCAACCATGCCTGGATTGACAGCAGTCATTTTTTTTCTTGATTTGGCCATATTTGCCTTCTCAGCTGAATCTAAAAATAATTTAATCCCTTATTCAAAATAAAAGGTAGATCAATATTAAAATCCAATCTGTTTGTTTAAGTTTGCCTTGCTAGACATTATACATTCACTAACCTTTTAGCTTTGTAGTATTCATTGGAAAATTTCTACCTTTCTCAAACATACAAACTGCAAAAAATTAATATTCATCAACAACAAACTCACAGAGTCGAATCACAGTCAAATGGCGGGATGATAGAACTTGTACTCGTATAATATGTATATACCATCGAATCATGAACATTGAACACATGTTTTTTCTTTTTTTTTATAAAACCTGAGTCTTGAGAATATTTCAGTGCTTGAATCTTTAATAATTAAAAATAAAAAATAAAAAATAAAATGACACTTGTCAACAATGTCTCTTTCTTGTAAATGACCTTCTTCGTTTTTGTCTATTTGGCCTTTTTTCAATTGGATATTGGGACAATGTTATCTTTAATAATTATTTATATTATTTGATTATATATGTTTTTTATATAATATAAACAAATAATAATGCAATGCGAATGTGAATCCATGGAAATACAGTAAAGCACGTAAAATTAACGTTCTGCGGATATCTATTTCTTGACGTCCCGAGAATGTACTAAATTGGACGTACTTAAAACGTCCATAATTGGTCCTGGACGTACAGACATTAAATGGACATTTAATGGACGTCCTTAGGACGTCCTGTGCTATCTGGGAAACTATATATTATACTTAAATACTTAACTGAAAATGGTTGCAAATTATTAGTATTGGAAATTATACATTCATATTTTGTCTAATAACTTCTGGGGTGCACCAGGGGTCAAATTTAGGACCATTGTTATTTCATGTATCAAAATTGCTGGGACACATCTACAACGTTTTGTAGAAGTCAAAATAAGTCGATTAAACTCAATTTATATAGCTATACTAATGAATCAAGAATATTTTTCGAATAAAATATAAATCTTAAAGAACCTTATTTTCATTTTTTTAACAGAAACATTTTCGTCGATATTTTAAGATCTGTTTTACATTCCAGATCGCAATCACTTTGACAATCCAGTTTATTCATATCAAGGCAATGGCAAACGAGACAATGACCTTCTTTTAAACAACACTACGAAAATTCTCAATAATTTGCACAAGCCGTCAAACACCAATTTGGAGAGAGCGCGCCTGGGCGGCATCGCCTGTTGTTCAACTGACGATGACGACTTAGCAAAAGGTATGCAATGATCTATATAAAAATAGGACCATGAAATTTAATGCTAACGATTTTTCAATAATATGAGCCAATTTAAGAACTACACTGAAAAATGAATGAAATATTCATGTTCATTCTAAAAACACCTACGTTATTATAGTTTTTTGTTTTACTAGAAATTGGTACTATCTCATCTACATCTTATTGGAGCTCTTATAACATTATGAACAATATTTATACTGAAAAACTTACGAAAACTTTTTTTTTTATGTTTGACAGGTGTGTATGAACCAAGCCTGGACGAATTAAGAAGTTTAAAAAATAGAGAAGCGGATGCCACTAATCCAAACATTTATCACAGTATCGATAAGCTAGATCACGTATATGCTGAGATTAATCAAAAGGACGCTAAAGATATTGGTAAGTGTAATATTTACATTTTTAGTATCCTTAGAAGTATATTAATAACTTAGAACAAAGGTGGAGGTTATAATTGTAATTTCCTAATAGGTACGTTCGTTTGGAAATATTCCAAGTAAGTCTTGTTCAATTTTATCTCTCACTTTTTTTTTTATAAAATAGCTTGATCATGTCAATTTTTCTCGTAAAATTACTGATTTGATTTATATTATATGAATGCATCATTACTGTCGAAGGTTAATATAGATCACAATAAATAATAAGATACACCCACACTGTCATTGATTTCTACCCAAATTTGAGGAAATGTGTAGAGTAGATCTGGCAACACCGCGCCGCATGCTTCTACGGTTAGTACGCCTAATAATTATTCAATTAAGTTCATTACCATGGGCACAGTGTATTGCTAAAGAATCACTCGGACCAGTTGGATGTTCCAAAATAACATCCACTCCAGGGATACAAATTCTGGATGCGCAGAAGAATGCTGTTTGAACATAGGCAGTTGTCATATATTGTATTGGTTATGATTTGATTCTGTATGCGCCAGGGATACAAATCGGAGCGCAATGTATAAACTGGAACATTGAGATCAAAAGTGCCTACGCAGAGTGAGCGAACTGATTCTTTAGCTATAAAGTATACTATGGGCTCGTTCACCGTCATCAAACGGTTTCGTACGATTACGAATCGGTGACGGTGAACGTTCAAACTTGAAACAGCTTCTTTGAAACCGTTTGTTAAAAAGTAATAGCGCTTCTACGTTTAACAATCAACACAATTTTACATTTGACAGATGTTTTGTGATTTGTCAAATACGCCAAATGGGAACTAAAGTAAGGGTTCTGTAGCAGAGTTATTTGTGCAAGTTAGTAAAATGTGTCGTAACATATTTTACCGTAAAATAATTTCAATATCCGACTCAAAATGTTTGGAACAATAAATGATTTTAGATTTATTTAAAGTACAAACGATATGTCAAATGATTTTAAATTTCAACACTGTTCGTTGTTCATTCACCGTCATCGCAACTTGTTACACGAAGCATAGAAACGTATAATTCATAATCAAATGAAACTATTTCATGACGGTGAACAAGGTCTATGTTAACAAGTTTATGGGCAATTATTAGACGTATCTTTTTATCAGTTTAAAGCAGGTAGGGTAAAGTATAATTTATAACCACCGTAACGTAACTTAACGCCGTAAAAACTTAACCTAAGATATAAAAATAAAGTCTATTTATAAATGTCCGTAACGTAAGAGTTGAGCATGCGTGTTGATTTCAGAGATTATCAAATTACTGACAACGTTATGAAATAAACAAGTGTAAACTATGTACCTAACCTCTAAATAAAACTTATAAATTATGATTTTGCTATATAGAAAGAATATATTAACTACTTTAAAAGCAATAATATAAAAATATAATAAAACAATAGTTTACCGAAGATGTTGATTGTTTTTGAGCAATATTGAGAATTTAATCTTTCCTAGCAAACTAGTTTTGTGTCTTATTTTAGTTCTAGATATATGCAGCAACACTCATATCTCATAAATAGTTTATCCCCAATAACATAAACACAAATCATTCATGATAATGTATGTCCATCAAAAAGGAGAATGATAGTTTACAAATGGTATTTGTCTATTCATTTATAAAAAAAAAATAAAAAGAGAATAATTTACAGTTATCACATGCTGAACTCATTGGCTAACCGTAAGGTCTTAAGTTAAGTTGTTAAGTTAAAAGTTGGCGAACTTTCTACGGTACGTTAAGTTCTTAAGTTACGTTACGAACAGTATAAATAAGTATACGTAAATTCAATATTTCAACTTCTTACGTTAAGTTCTTAAGTTACGTTACGGCGGTTATAAATTAAGCTTTAGATTTAGCCCAAAACACTGCGGCCTCTTGGGTCTATTGTATTTCCCTGATTTCCTCGTATTTAGGTACTATCTTTGGAATAGTCCTGTGTTCTTTGATTAGTTTTAATAGATTCCCTACCAAGTGTTCCTGGAGCGTTCTTTCCGGTTCTAGGCCGAAAAGGATGAAACTTCGCCTAGTAAGAACTTCGCATTCGAAGATCACATGGTATAAGATTTCTTCCTCTTCCATGCAGAGTCTACACGTAGTGGGTTCATTGTGTAATCCCATCACATGAAGGTGTTTCACCAAGCAGTGCCCCGTTAGTAATTCCACAATGGTGGATATATGAGGCCTTGCGAGTTGTAGTGCCTCAGTAGCCATGCGTGGGTTTGGTCCCCTTAGCATGAGTTTACTGATGCCTTCCTATCTGTTGCCAGTGAATTTGGTGTTTTGTGGTTATCCACCTGTTCACTGCCTGTCAAGCAGAGGTTTTGCTTATCCTAAATACAGGTTCGGGTCCTGCGAATGGTAGATCTGATCCCTCTTTGGCGAGTTCATCGGCCTTTTCATTTTCTTGGAGACCTATGACTTGATTTTGTTTGAATCAAGAGCCTTTAAGGTTGCTTGGCTGTCTGAGAGAATTAGGATGGTTTGTTTTTTGTACTTCCTTCTTAAATTCTCTCTTACACACAATTCGATTGCATGTATTTCAGCCTGAAATACAGTGGCATGTTTTCCCAGTGAGACAATGATGTCGCATTTGGGTTTAACTCCATGTACGCCAGAGCCTATTCCCTTGTTAGTTTTAGATCCATCCGTATACCATACGGATAGATCTAAGTATTTATCTATCTCCTTATTTACCTCGTTCCAGTTACAGTTGACCTGGAAGAGTCTGTTAAATATTAGGAGCGGTGTCATGTGATCTGATCCCATATTTAATATAGAATCACATACTTCATGTGTTATTCTGGTATGTTTTATATATCCACGTGGGTTCCAGTTGTTGGAGATTTCCAGTCTGTATGCACTTATTCTGGCCTCCCCCTTTATGACTAGGTCAAGGGGTGGGAGGTTTAGAATGATTTCCATAGAGGCTGTCGGTGTACTTCTCAGTGCTTCTGTAATACAAAGGCATGCCAGCCTCTGTACTCCTGAGAGGGTATTGCCTGTTTTCTGGTTTACTTTTAGCCACCAAACAACCACTCCATAAGTTATCATGGGTCTTGTTATTGCCAAATATAGCCAGTGGACCATTTGTAATGAAGTCAATTTTCGTTAATAATTTTTTTAACTAATTCCGGGTATTAATTTCGATTTTTACTTAATTTTAACTTCATGGATATACCCTGTATATAAGCTTGTCGCAGTTTAGCCCAAATCGTCCAATTATTTTGCGTGCGCGAGTTGCAATGGTGTGATTTTCTGTTAGTGGTAGGGCAATCGACGGGGATTCAATTAAAAATTTTAGTTCCTAATACACCGATTTATTGAACAGCTGAAAATAGAAAAAATATTTAGAGACCGAAATCCGCGATTCCGATATTGCTTGCGAGAGATACAATTTTAAACCGATATAAATTTCTAGCCGCGATCTTGACGATAGGTAAATTGTTGTCATTGTTTTTATAAATTGATATTTATTTTATTTTTCTTTGCTCGAGACTTTAAGCCGTGTTATTTGAAACCGTTTTATTTTGATTTATTTTTGATTAATGTTATTCCGTGTTGAGTTAAGAATTGAAACTTGTTTTGATTAAGAAATACTTTAATTTATTTTTGTTAGAAAGCACCGTTTTTTTTTTTTTTTTTTTGAATTTCATTTTAGTTTATTTATGGCTTTAACTGTTAAATAATATGTTTTTCATTCGATCGTAAATATAGGTGTACACTTAATTTTTCCTACTACCATAAATTTTCATGGAAAAATCGTAAATTTAATTTTAGTTTATTTAAAGCTTTAACCAATAAATAATTGGTCGGAACTGTTTGGGAATTGTCTAATATTTTGATTTGTTACCTTAATAGAATTGCGACGAGACATTTTCTTTTATTTTGTACTCTGAACCGCATATTTACGCGAACTTAAATAATATCATTCCCCTGTCTGAAGCGGCTCGTGATTACGATCACTTCATTCAGAGATAATGTGCTATCCCGATTGTTAATTGGTTTTACTTTCCAACCAGTAGTTTGAGTAAACTTCTTGAGTCCCGGCGGTTTCGGCCCTGAAAGTAGTACTGCCACGAACCTGTTCCCTCGCATTCTCTGCAACGGTATATGCAATTTTGCTTTGCCGAAGCAATCATGGTATATTCATTTGATGGTAAATACCGATTAGACAATTCAACAGTTAATTTTTCCTACGACCGTAAATATTATTTTCTTTACCGATTAAACTGTTAAATAGTTAATTTTTCCTGCGTCCGTAAATAGTCTAATAGTAAATTTTTCCTACGACCGAATTAATATTTCTCCTGCTCGAAATAGCAAGTTATATTTTTAGCTCAACCGAATAGACTGTTCAATAATAAACTTTTGCTGCGACCGTGATTACTACAATTATAGATTTAATTTTTTTTATTAAGGCTATTCGGAAGTTATTTCCGGCCGTTTTGTTTGTTTATTTTTGTTCAGGGTTTGTACATATTACCGTGAGGGTGGGCGTTGAAATACCTTAATTTATTTCTTTTTATGTTGTAAATAATTTAAAGCAATATATGTGCCGTATTACTGGTTACCAATTCCATACATTATTTCCTCCTTGTATTTCAGCTAGTGATAAATTTTGTACCAGCCCAAGCAACGATTAAAATCCTTTACTTGTGGCCTACCATTACCTGTGTCTAAGTGACCTTTGACCCCTGGAATTTTTCATCTCCATCTGTAGCTACCGGAGTACTTTCGAAACCGCTTCGAGAGTTTGTGGAGTAAACTATAACCAAAAATTTGGCGCTCGAGAGCCGCCCGTAACCAGCGCTATTAGTAAGGGACAATTTTCTCAGAGGCGAGAAAACCCCCTGCACATTTTTGGTTTTAATCCCCATGTTTTTCCAAATGCCTGTCTCCCTACAATGAGAGACATTTTATATTTGTTGGCCACTTTTTGTAAGTGTTGGTTCCAAGTAAGTTTGCTATCTAGGATTAGACCCGGATATTTTACTTGGTTCGTTTTGTTTAGCCTTCCTCCAAACAGAGTCGTAGTTTATGAAACGTCCAACCTTGTTTTTCGAGTAAAGGCTATGAGTTGTGCCTTGTCAGGGTTTACCAACACGTTTTCCCTAACGCACCACATTTCTGTCAGCCTAAGAGCTCTTTGCGTGAGTTCAAAGACTGGTTTGGTGTTTTTCTCGGATAAGGATGACTATGTCATCGGCATATCGTTGGGCGTACAACCCTTGATTGTTCAGTGTTTTCAGCAGTTCATTTGCCACTAGGTTCCACTGTAGAAGAGAAACGACTCCACCCTGTGGGCATCCCCTATGGATATTCACCTTCATGATTTCACTGAACATTTGTGCCTATACTTGCCGTCCGCGTAACATGTCTTCTATCCACCAGCAGATGGTGTCTTCTATTCCATCTTTGCGAGCGGCAGCTACCATTGATTTAAAGGAAGAGAAGGATAGAATATTGTTGTTTGCAGTTGTAGATATATTTTAACGATCTATTTTTTACTATATTTATGTAGGCGCAAGGAAAACAGGCTAGCTTTAATGCTTAATTTGCTGTTAATTTTCCATAAGGAAGATGGATGACAATTAGGCGCTAAGTGTTTGTAAATAAAATGCAGAAGTGCAAATATGTTTACAGGAAATTAAAAAAAACCCCTTAGATTATGTTTACTGTTGCTATGCAGGCCGAGCAGTCTTCAAATATATTGTTGTTCTTATGTTTATTATATATTATTTATGGGAGTGATTTATGTGGATTATAAATAGAGTAACTGAAGTTTGTGTGAAAAAATGCTTGTCATTTACCTCCACTTCAACTAATGCCACCAGAGAATATTAGGGACAATGTGTCACAATCAAAACTTCAAGTTTTAAAAGAACAAATTAAATATGTTCCTCGACAGTATCGTAGGTTTTATGAGTTACTCTTTAGAGGGAAAGAAGTCAATGAAAATAAGAAAACTTGTAGATCAGTATAAACGTAAAAATCTAAAATATGTTTTGTAGAATAGTACATTTTTAATAAACTTCTAAGTCTTTCATAATTTGTCTCTTTTATCCATCTGCAGCACCAATATTTATCTTCCATTGTGTTATCTACATATTTTTTTGTAATACCGTAATATTTTTTAAAAATTTAGTTAGTTTAATAGTATAACTAACAAGTAACATTATGCCAAAAAATCATACTTTAATTCAGTTTTAAACAAAAGTTCCAGGTGGAAACACAAAAGAATGATTTTATAAACATTATTGGTTTGTCACTTAGCCCCTTTATCTACTTGCCTCTTTAATTATGTAAATATATCATTGATTATAAGTAAAAAGTTTCTATATTGTAATAAAATATACTATTAGTATAACGTATGTACCAAAGTTGCATGTTTCTTAGAATAATTATTTGTTTTCAGTACCTAAAGATTAGACAGTTATGTATAGTAGATAAATTGTTCTTTAGGCAGTTATACTTGGTTTTTTTTGCGTCACACATCGTTCAGTAAAATAAACTTTCGCCACACGTTTTGATTAAAATGGTTTAGATTATATTATACAGGGTGTCTGTAAAAGGTCTTTACAAAAACATACCACATATTCCTTAGACCAAAATAAGTCGATTTAAGTAAAATTACCTTAGTACAAAGTTGCTTCGTTTGGGCTCCAGAGGGTCTTGAAGTTACAATTTTTAAATCGTTTTTCCCATATAAATTTAAAACGGCATATGCGATTTTGCTAAAATTTGGTATATTGGTAGAGTTTTATGTGGCAAAAAAATGGTATTAAAATTTTGTCCGATAATAATACATAGGCGTAGAACTTGATTTTTTAAATAATTGCACCTTCAAAAATTCTACGCCAATGGAAGAAAAGGAGTTTGAGTATGAAATTTAGATTAAGCAACTCATTTACTTTAAAAAAGGTACTCTTGATAAGACTCGATTACTCTCATGGTTTTCGCTAAATTTCTGTTTCAATGATTTGGAGTGTATAGGTTTCACAAAAATATTTATTTACAACATAATCAAAATAGAGATTTTACAAAAATTGTTCAAAATGTTCACCATTTTCACGCATACAAAGATTTATACGTCGAAGAAAATTAAAATGTATCCTTTCCATAACTTCTTCATCACCTCTAAGATTGTTTATTGCATTTTGAATACGTTGCCAGAGTTGTTCCTTATTTTCTACAGGTTCCCTGTAAACTGTGGATTTCAGATGTCCCCATAAAAAGTAATCCATCGGTGTTAGGTCTGGGGAACGTGGTGGCCAGTTTACAGGTACGTCATTTCCTCTGCCTATCCATTTGTGTGGATATTGTTCATTCAAGTGGTTTCTAACGTTTAAAGAAAAATGTGGTGGAGCTCCATCTTGCATAAACCACATATCTCTCCGAAGTTGGAGAGGCAAATCTTCTAACAATTCTGACAACGTATTTTGTAGAAAATCCAAATAATTTTCTCCAGTTAATCTTCGTGGAAGTATGACAGGACCAACAATGAAATTACCAATTATTCCAGCCCACACATTAATTTTGAATTCGTGCTGAAAATGGTTTAACCTTTATTGCATGCGGATTTTCAACGACATAAACATGTTCATTATGGGTATTAGTTATACCTCTTCTTGTAAAACCCGCTTCATCGGTAAAGAGAACCTTCTTGACAAAGTTTGGATCTCTTTCTCTTTGCATATTAACAAATCGACAAAAACCCAAACGAATTTGAGGATCATGGACTAATAATTCTTGTACTGGCTTCTTATGGTATGGATATAGCAATTGTTCTCTAAGCACTTTATGAACGACATCTTTACTTACTCCTAGTTCCCTTCCAATTCGTCTGGTGCTTAATTCTGGATCTTCTTCAACACGTTCTAAAATGTCTTCTTCAACTTCAGGAATCCTTACAAAACGTTCTCTTCCATTATCAACAGTGTTGGGAGCAAAGGAACCGGTCTCCCGAATACGTCTCTCAAAAGCAGCAAAAGTTGGGTGGCTAGGTACACGACGATTTGGAAACCTTTCAGAGTACACCCTGACACTCTCTCGAGCATTTCCTTCACAAAATCCTAATGTCAGTAACATATCGGTATATTCTGCATTGGTATATTGTACAGCCATATTAATAAACCACGCATTTGTTTTTTTAATTATTGAGTAAGATAGAACACTTTCACTCGTTAACAAGAGATTAGGTGTTAAAACTTGACAATATTTTTATTTAGATGAAACTATGGAAACCAACAATAAATGTTTTTGTATACGTATTGCAGGCAAATAATTAATATTCCTCAAAAAATCGTGCATGGCAAGAATCGAGTATTTTTGTTAAAAGTCTCGATTAGAGGTGTTGAAGAAGATATGAAAAAAGTACATTTTTATGTTTTCCATCGTATAAAATTTTGTCCGATAATAATACATAGGCGTAGAACTTGATTTTTTAAATAATTGCACCTTTAAAAATTCTACGCCAATGGCAAAAAAGGGGTTTGAGCATGAAATTTGGATTGGGTACTCATTTACTACAAAAAAGTACCCTTGATAACACTCGATTTACTCTCATGGTTTTGACAAAGTTTGTATTTTAATAATTATTGTTTATGTTCTAAAATTACTAAAATGCAAATTTCGTTAAAACCATGAGAGTAATCGAGTCTTATCAAGAGTATCTTTTTTAAAGTAAATGAGTTGCGCAATCTAAATTTCATACTCAAACTCCTTTTCTTCCATTGGCGTAGAATTTTTAAAGGTGCAATTATTTAAAAAATCAAGTTCTAGGCCTATGTATTATTATCGGACAAAATTTTAATACCATTTTTTGCCACATAAAACTCTACCAATACACCAAATTTCAGCAAAATCGCATATGCCGTTTTAAATTTATATGGGAAAAACGATTTAAAAATTGTAACTTCAAGGCCCTCTGGAGCCCAAACGAAGCAACTTTGTACTAAGGTAATTTTACTTAAATCGACTTATTTTGGTCTAAGGAATATGTGGTATGTTTTTGTAAAGACCTTTTACAGATACCCTGTATAATATACAGTGTATATTATATATTTTTAAATAAATAGACTTTTACTTTAAACTATTTTTTATTTCAGTTCAACATATAATAATTGTATTTTATTTTTTTATATAGAAATGGAATACGACCATTTAGACTATACGAGACCAGTGAGCACGCTAAAACCCCACTATCAGAGGATGGCTAGCCCATTTGGATCTAGAGATCTGTCTAAAGATGATAAAAATGTGACTGAGTAGCTTCTCCGTAAATTTTATTTATTGTTTTATATTCTTTTTTATGGTATTGCAACTACAATAGATTAAGTAAAGGATACATTTTTTTATATACATAAAACGAATTGATTTTCGAATTTTATAAGCAGGTAACTAGTTTTAAATATAAACAAATCTTTGACGATTCTATTATGGGATAAATGGCTTGATGGTTAATCGGAATCAAAAATGCCACACACTTTTTATTATGGTGTGATATTTTTAATTTGTCTGCCATTTAGTCTATGTTATTAGAGTTTCGTTTATATTGAGTATAAACTACTTTTTTATGTATTTAATTTTATTGAGTCTTCTAGATGCAGAATTTGTTTTAATTATTAGTAATAAGCATGTTCTCATTAAAAAAAAATAATACGTTTTACAATATATTTTCTGTAATATATAGTGTGTCTCACATAGGAATGCAGAGCATAGGATCTCATAAACGATTGAATATTTATAGTTGAAAGATATAAAAACATCTAGGACTGTTATCGTGTTATTATCGGACCCGAATGAACCCATCAAATGTCGTGATAGACAGACAATACGTATTTAGCTTATACTACGACTAGTTTCGCGTTTTTTTTTTTTAATTTCTCCCTCTTCCTGCCATAAACCCTATATCATGTGATACATCAATAGATGCGTCTCGACAAGCTGTATAATTCTTTTTAAGGTCTTTTTGCTTTATCTCCTTTTCAAGCAAAGTTTTCCCGGAAGAAAAGCGTTGGGCCAAAACGTTCTTATAATTTACCTCGGAAATGTGTTTGATGTATCGGGAAAATTTCAATACCAGATTGTGAGGACTTGATGTTTTAAATTTTCCGATAAATTAGTTTGAAAAGTCGGAAAATTTGAGAAACAAAATACAATTTTTTTTTAATTTTCACCTAACATAACTAAAAAAAAATTTCCGGCATGATTCGACAGAAAATTATGTTTTGTAACACGTATGTTTTTTTATACAGGTTGTTCCATCTCATACCCTGTATAATACGGTCCTTAAAACTAAATTTATTAAATGTGAGACACATTGTATTTAATTCCTATATTTTTCCATTAAAAAAGAACTATTCTTTATATATATCATATTTATACATTAATATAATTATTTTACGATTTTGTTATTTAAATTCTTTATCATTTCTTTACAAATTTAAAACTTGTAATCCTGATATTCAGGATGTGTGTTTATCGTGTGATTATTTTCTGTATAATGTTCAATTATTTAAAAATCATTTTTAAAAGTTTTAATCCTTTGGTCTTTATGGCCAGTTTCATGTATGTGCCAACATTGCTATATTCCAAACCATAACAGATAAAGAAATAACACGTTTTAAATGATGAACGTTAGGGTCGAAAAAAATCTGCAGGGTCTACTGCCATTCTTGGGTTGCACAGTGAAAACAAAAAATATAATAAACTTTTAAATAATTATAAAAACAGTGTAGGTACCATTAAATCTTCGATATGTTTAGTTTCGATATTATAGGGTTAAGCATACAGCTATGTTGGCACTACTACAGTCTGTTCACTATACTTACGCGGGTTTCGGGTTTCGAGCATTTTCAGGTAAGTACCCGAAAATTTGACCTGTTCTTTGGGGAAATATCAACTGGTTAAATGAAATGAAAAATAATGTACAACTTTTTAATTAAATAATAATGGAGAATCTTTTGTATAATTGAGAGCAGAATTAAACTTCTTCATTAATGGAGTCTAATGTGGCTATTATAAACCTAATAATAATTTTATATTACACTTCACACAGAAAATATGGTCTATGTATAATAAGAGGGTTATTTAGCTCAAATAAAATATGTTCTAACATAAAAATTTGTTCCATGTAGAGAATTTCAAATGAAAAATAAAAAAATTGAACTTGCCAACAAAAATGAAGATCAGTCATTATCATCCAAAATATCATAATCGTCATCATCATCACTGTCATCACCATTAATTGTTATTATGATTGGACTTATTTCGTTTATTTTATTTTCACGAGTCCACCAATCTTCTATTAGTTTCTCGCACTTGGATATACAGTTCCGCCACACTTCTGGAGTTGCAATTGAAAGTGCTTTTCGCAAAGTTTCCCGAACTGCGTCGTCACTATAACCATTAGGCCCAGTATGGTTGTCATAATATTGTTTTGTTATTCCCCATATATATTCGATGGGATTAAACTGGCAATGATACGGTGGCGGACGTAAAACTTGATGACCGTAACTTTCAATAATCTGATCCACAACAAAGGTTTTTGGTTTTGCGTGTATATTTGCCAAGCGTAATAATTCTGATTTTATTATATATTGAGGAAATGGTATATGTTCCTTTGTCAACCATTCTTTAATTTTATCAACAGTCCAAGAATTCGTTGGACTTTTGTTTAATACTTCAGAATGGTAAGGTGCATTGTCTAAAATAATTACGCTGGGCTCACTTAAACCTGGGAGAAGTTTTTCATGCATCCATTTTACAAACATTTCTGTGTTCATATTATTGTGATAGTCACTGGATTTTGATTTAAATGAAAATATTAAATCAGCACCTTATATAAAACCCGATTTCCCTCCTGCATGTAAAATTATGTTTCGCTTACCTTCTCCATCGGTATGTTTGATGGACTTTACGTTATCATCTTGCCATATTCTCTTGGTTGCACCCCTAGAAAATATCCTTGTTTCGTCTAAATATATAAAATTCGCCCCTTCTTCTTTAAATTTAGAATATTTTCTTAGAAAGTTAATTCTCTTGTGCACGACAGAACTTCTTTCACAAAGGGCCTTTCTGTTATCCTCCTTTTGAAATTTGAAACCCAAGTTATGTATCACTTGTCATAGACTTGTTCTCAATGTCGTCAAATTTTCTATCTATTAATTCCGAGAGAATTGTATTTAAGGTCACATGTTCTTTGTTGGCCCTCATTCGATAAATGGCATCACGAATTTCAAATTTCTTTCCATGTGGAATATCTTTCGTTTTCAATGATGGGCAAGTTTTGCGGTGATCTTCTTTGGGCAGTTCACTATTGTGATTTTGTAATACTCCTCTTAATTTGGTTTCACTAATTCCTAGAGCATCGCATACGCGTTGTTGTACAGATATTACCGATTTTAAAGGACCGCCATTTTCTTTTTCATCCGTAAAATACTTATGTACACTACAAATTAGACTATCTACATCTAACACACGTCTAGGCATTTTTAAAATTTCCACTAAATTTACAATATACATACAATGTCAACACTTGCAAAGAATCAATTCAACTGCAATATTTGTAACAAATTTAGTACCTACCCTAATGTTATTTTAATTTAAATCTGACCATTAGGGCAATTTTACCTAATTTCTTGGGAAGAGGCTTATTGGAACTGGTTGTCAATGACTAATTTGCATAATTTTGTTAATCCGAAACCCGCGTAAGTATAGCGAACAGACTGTAGTACTCATATGTATAACTATTTCTTTTTCTAAATAGTCTTTTTTAGGTACTTGTATTTCAGACTCTTAATTATGTAAAATATTATTCCTCATGTATTTGAGTATTTGTGCAATTAGGTAATAATATCAAATGCTCAATATCTATTCTTCCTTAATTTAAACTAATTAGATATAAAACAGAGCTGGCCTCGCCGATTTATGTGACACAGCCATTGAATTTCTTCTTTATTTCGACATAAATATGAGATTTATACATAGAAATATTGTGAGATTTGAACTTGTTTTTTGCGATATCTTCAGTGATTCTTAAAATGAATCGAACCAGCTCTGTAGAATAAATAATACATCTATAGTTCCATTCAAAAATTTGATACCCATGGTATTTTATAACCTGACAGCTTTCGATATTTTTGTATAACGAAATTTTAGATTGATAAATAGTATTAAGAATGTCGTTTGTCGTTTTTTATACCATATTTAAAGTGTTGTGATATTGAGAACAAAAGCAATTTAATTGTATTTTTTTTAATTATTGTAATATTGGTATGTTAAGGAATCGTGGGATTTTATCTTATATTATATTTTTAATTTGTACATAAAATTTTATTGATGTATTTAAATGAGATTCTGTGATAAGTTATATGTATGATTAAAGCAATCTTGTGTGTATTAGTTTTTTTATTTTATTTAAACCTTAAAACCAGGAGAAAGACAATAATATGTGGGTGATTTTTTATTTATTTCCACACCACTCAACAAAAAATAGTGGGAATAATTACAAATTAGTGTAAACTAATTTTACGTGAAAATTCCTTGAAAGAAATGTTTTTCATTAGTGTGAGTTTTAAAATGTTTGTGTAAGCTCTTTTTATAAGTAAATTCCTCTGAACAAATATCAGTTGTAGGATTTTTGATTACTGCGAGATCTTAAATGTCTATAAATTTCGTTTATGATAAAATTCCTTGGAACAAATGGTTTTTTACTAATATGGGTTCTTAAATGTATTTACGAGCCATTATATATATTAAATTCCTTGAAACAAAGGTTACACTTGAACTGTTTTTAACACGCTTATATTAGCTTCACCTGTATGTATGTTTGTAACTCTCCTTTGGACTCAAGTGGCTTATTACTGTCAGTATATCCCATTAAGTCAAGTTCGTTCGTGGCCGAGCGGTCTAACGCGCTGGTATTCGATTGCCAGACACCGATCGTGGGTTCTAATCCCCACGGCTGAAAAAAAAAAGAACTTCGAGGAATGAAGAAAAACTTTAAAGGTCGACAGACAACATTAACGAGTAACCTTAGTTATTTTAAAATTATTTTAATAATAATTGTTAAAGATAAATATCTAGGATCCAATTTACATCAATTTCAATAATTTAACAATCATATCGATTATAGTATTAATATGGACATTAAAAAGATCAAAATAGAAATCCCAGACAACACACCAAAACCCAGAGATACCCACAGAATATCTTTTGTGGATATCAGAAATATTCCGTGGATCTAATATGGATATCCAAATGTCCGTCTATATCCAGAATATAAAAGATATATGGATATCCAGCAAAATATCTAATGAGTATCTTATCCAGACAATACAAGAAATCCCAGAGATATTCACAGAATATATTCTGTGGATATCCAACCAAATGTCCGTCTATATCCCAGGATATAGAAGAATTCGGATATTCAGCAAAATATTTTATATGTATCTTTAGTAGAGGTTCATAAGTAAATAATGATTATTGAATAAAGTCGAAAGAAAATAGCAGAGATAAAAAAATATTTTCAACACTCAAAGTATTTTCAACACTCTGCCTTTGATTTTGCCCACTAAGGAGAAAGTTATCCTTATTAGAACTCTTCAGCCATAAATGGAAATTCTCGACTCCAGTCTCTAATGGAGTCTGATTGTGAAACAAATTTCGATCGAACCCAATTACGGCGGGTTGAGCATAAGTGGTATCGCCATCTATACTTAGTAAGCAAAATCAAAAATTACATCTAGTGGATGGTTCGCGTTCGCGCCTAGACTTTGATATATTTAGTGGATGTCCATGGGATATTGAATACACCTTAAAAAAAATTAATTTTAAATATCTGAACGGTACTATTAGTCACAATGGCGTAATTTTTTAATAATTTGCTATATAATTACTATTATTTATGGACATTTTCATGTCTATAAATTACAGCTCATGGATATAAAAGAGATATCCACCATGGACATTCAGTGGATATTGGGATGGTCAGTAGATATCCAAAGGATTTGGTGTGCTGTCTGGGATGATGCATTTGACATTTTGTGACAGCTACTGCGGAAAGTAGCATATTCGTACACGGGTGGAAAGTAAATTCTTATTCATACGCGTGTGATAGCACTTTCCATAGGACTATATAGTGTGATATGTGTCACTTTCCTAAGTGGTCGTAGGAAAAAATATTAATTTTTAATTTATCAGTGTTAACTATTTCATTATTAAGCTATTGCATAGATTTTATCGCGGGCTTTGGGCGCGGCGACCGAATCAAGAAATTCCGTAACGAAAATAAATTTATCACCCTCGAAAAATCACCCCCCACTCCGACCGGCACAGCGGTGCGGCGTTGAAAGCCGTGCATCGTCTAACGTCGTTTCAGTTCGGCAGACTTCGTCACGGTGTTTGTGTGCGTGCTACTAGATGTATGCGTGTAGACTAGCTGCTCATAACTGATTATATCTCTTTTAGACACAATTTCGGAAAAATTGAATTTGAAAATGAATGATGATCCACAAGAATCCACAACAAAATATGGGGCCATCATTGACGCGGTATTTTCCAGATATTTAGAGGATATCAAGTCTCAAACTTATGTTTCTTATTTCAGTTACCATAAACCTATAGTTTCAATGATAAAAATTCCTGAATAACCTACATGTATTGTAAGATAATAAAAATATTTTAAACAATATTAACTTTTCATTTATTCAATAAAAGAAAAATATTTGTTTTCAAATCGGTCACCACGCTCAAAAAGTGTAACTTGAATTAATTTAAAAAAAAACTTTAATTAATATCAAAGAAAAAAGATACTGCATAAATAAATAATTATAATTGCATAAGTTGATAAAAAATGCTATGCAATAGCTTTACCGCGGCAGTCCCAGAGTGCCACACGTATTTCTTTTTTATTAAATTCCTTGTGTAGTGTAGAATAACAAATTTTACGTCAAAATTCCTCACAAGAAATATTACACTGAAAGGTTTTCCATTACTGTTAGTTCTAAAATGTTTCTGTAAGTAAATTCCTTGGAAAAAATATTAGTAGACTGATTTTCATTAGTGTGAGATCTTAAAATGTCTCTTTAAATTAGATGTAAGAATAAATTCCTTGGAAAAGCTTTGTATTAATGTGGGTTATAAATGTATTTGTAAAACAATATTTTATTAAATTCTTCAGAACATAGGTTTAGATATGAACCGTTTTTCACTAGTGCATGATTTTAAATGTATTTGTGAACTAAATTTATGTTTAAATTCCTTGAAACAAATGTTACACTGGAATTTTTCATTAGTGTGAGTTCTAAAATGTGTATAAGATCTGTTTATAGGCAAAATAAGTTTGTTTAATATAGGGATGGTTCGTTTCTTTATAAATAAAACAAGTATAATTATTAAAGCATTTATTCACCATTCATAACTACCGAAAGTCTATACAACCTGTTGTATCACCATAAAAACAGAATAATAATGCATAAAATATAAAACAAGGGGTATCGCCTTGAACAACAGTTGACAGAGGCAACCCAAAGTTTTACCACTGTAAAACAACATGACTACAAAGAGTAGTAGTGATGTACTGTAACATTCAATAAGTACTACAAAACAAATGATACAATTGAATGGCTTATTAATGTGGGTTCGTATGTACTTGTAAGCCATTTTTTTTTATAAAAATTCCTTGGAAGAAAAGTTACATTTGAACCGTTTTTCATTAGTGTGGGATTTTAAATGTATTTGTAAACTAATTTTGTGTTTATATTACTTGGAACAAATGTTATACTGGAACGATTTTTCATTAGTGTGAGATAATAAATATTTCTGTAAATTAGGTTTATGATCAAATTCCTTGGAACAAATATTAGTTGAATTATTTTTTATTAGTGTGAGATCCTAAATGTTTCTATAAATTAGGTTTATGATTAAATTCCTTTTTCATTAATGTGGGTTCTTAAATGTATTGGTAAACTAGTTTTACATTTAAATTCCTTGGAACAAATGTTACACTGGAACGGTTTTTCATTAGTGTGACTTCTTAAATGTACCTTCAAGCTATACTTATAATTAAATTCCTTAGAACAAATATCACACTGGAATGGTTTTTCATTAGTGTGGGTTAACAAGTGTCGCTGTAAGACGAATTTCCCAGTAAATTCCTTAGAACAAATGTCACACTTGAATTGATTTCCATTAGTGTGGGTTTTTAAATGATTCTGTAATATGTGTTTATAAATAAATTCTTTGGAACAAATGTCACACTTCAATGGTTTTTCATCAATTATTAAATGTTGATGCAAATCTGCTTTTTGACTAAATTCCTTGGAACAAATGTCACACTTGAAAGTGTGCGTTTTTAAATGTCTATGTAAATTAGATGTATGATTGAATAGCTTGGAACAAATGTTACACTTAAATGGTTTTTCCTTAGTGTGCGTTCTTAAATGTGTCCTAAAATTAGATTTATGATTAAATTCCTTGGAACAAAAGTTACACTTGAACAATTTTGTATTAGTGTGAGTTACTAAATGGCTTTGTAAGCTAGATTTCACGTGAAATTTCCTGGAACAAATGTTACACTCTAACAGTTTTTCGTTATTGTGCAATCTTAAATGAGTCTGTAAGTTATATTTATGATTGAATTTCTTGGAACAAATGTTACATTTGAATGGTTTTTGAGGACCGTGCGTTCTAAAATGTGACTGTAAGTAATGTTTACGAGCAAATGCCTTAGAACAAATGTTACACTGAAATGGCTTAAATGGTTTTTCATCATTATGGGTTATTAAATGTTGCTGCAAGCTATATTTTCGAGAAAATTCTTTGGAACAAATGTCACACTTGAATGTTTTTTGTAGGTCAATTTTTTTGATGTGGCCCTTCCGCAAATGTCCCTTGAAATCTGCAAATAAAAAATATTTCACTTAATCAAAAAAATGCTCAACAATTGAAAAAACATACAAGATAACAAAAAAAAAATGTGTATGCTCACAGCTGGCAAGAACTCAAGTAAATTGTACTCAAAATTATACTTGAGTACTCAAAAGTGCTTTATCAAAATAAATAATGCAGGATAAAGGAGAGTATGCTTTTGATTGGGAAATTTGGGCGGTATCTGACAAAAAAATTTAAATATTTTAAATGCTTAGAAACGAGTAATGTCAATAAATTCAATGAGGCAACGTTTCGTTTTAATTATTGTAATAACCAATTGTCAGAAGTGACATTTTCTTGTTATTGTTGTTAATTGCTGATAACAAAAAGTGTGAATCGTATTCATTTCAATTCGTTTATTATTTAATTAGTTAGAATTTTTTATTTTTACACTTTTTGTATCTATGTTAGCGGTATTTCTCTATACTCCCCACCATACATTCTTGAAGTCCATACACATGCGTGTCAGGATGGACGAGCGGGAGAAGACAGACCAGCGCAGTGGGTAGTACGCTAATAGACAGTGGCAATACCACAGCAACATTGTAATTGAGAATACTTGATCGTGAAATAAACCATTAAAAAGGCAGTTTAGACATTTTTATTAGGGATGATACATCCCTTATGTTTATATCAGAAGTGGGATTGCAACTAACTACCTTTTTAATTAACCTTGGTGCTATTGCCACTAACTACCTTATCAATTAACCTTGGTGGAATTGCCACCATTACAGGAAACATAGTGGGATTACCATTATCATTTCAATTAACCTTGGTGGGATTGCCACTAACTACCTTTTCAATTAACCTTGGTGGGATTGCCACTAACTACCTTTATTTTTATTTATTGTTGGTGAGATTGCCACCCTAACACTAAACGCTAGTGTTATAAAACTAAACTCTAGTATTACTTTATTATCATAATTTATTCAGGAACATTTGGTGGGATTGCCACCCTAACACTAAACACTAGTGCAACAACACTAAACCTTAGTGTTAATTTATTATCATGATTTATTCAGGAACATCTGGTGGGATTGCCACCCTAACACTAAACACTAGTGTTACAACACTAAACCCTAGTGTTAATTGATTATCATGATTTATTCAGGAACATCTGGTGGGATTGCCACCCTAACACTAAACCCTAGTGTTAATTTATTATCATGATTTATTGGCCGTGTTAGCGGTATTTCTCTATACTCCCCACCATACATTCTTGAAGTCCATACACATGCGTGTCAGGATGGACGAGAGGGAGAAGACAGACCAGCGCAGTGGGTAGTACGCTAATAGACAGTGGCAATACCACAGCAACATTGTAATTGAGAATACTTGATCGTGAAATAAACCATTGAAAAAACAGTTTAGACATTTTTATTAGGGATGATACATCCCTTATGTTTATATCTATATTCGATAATTTTACATGGTCCCAATAAAGTGTTTTGGGTGCGATGGCTACATTAATAAAAAAAGTACTTCAAAAGCGACCAACAATGAAACCTACCGGCAGTTTCTACTGAATATTCAAGCACGCAGAGAAATTGACTGGGTAGAGCCTGGAGGAAACTCGCGCATTTGCACCCAATGATATGCTACGTTTCGACGACAAGGTAGAGTAAAGCAATGTTTATAGTAGCAACATAATAAATCTCGTTTGTTTTATTCTTAAAGCAATGAAATAAGATCCAATATCCAACAAGATCCTATTCCCATCATTAAAAATGGTGAAGGGAATGGCTAAAACATTAGAAATGTATCACTCAAACTGCCAAATAATCAAAGATCTTGTTGCGTGTGCGGTGTTATTAGAAGGCAGCGTATTTCAAGGGAAGCTGTTCTCAAGTTATGGATTCAAAACCGGATATTTTGCAACTTGGGGAATCGATCATGCCTGGAACATTTTGAGAATGGTTACTTTTCTGAAGAATCTGTTGCTCTATTGCGATTGCAAGCTGCTCCTAGACAGCTTACTCATGGTGACACTGAATGTTTAATTAATCTACTCACTAATCGCATAGTAGCTCTTGAAGAAAAAAAGCAAGATATTCGATTTTGACAATGAAAATATGGATGACGACGATTTCAAGTGTTTAACCGGATTAAGTAAAGCGCAGTTTGCAACGGTTGTAGGTAACTGCAATAACTTGAAACCTAGAAGACAAGTTTCAAAAAAAAAAAATTGCGTAGCTATTTTTCTAATAAAACTGAGAAATGATCCAACTCAAAAAGTTTTAAGCAAGATGTTTGGCATGAAACTGAAGCAACAATATCTTATTAGTAAACTATTTCACGATGTTCTTAACTCACTTACAGTTCACTTCATCTTGGTTACCAACATATAACTCGTCAAGAATACGCTACTCACGTTAATCCTGATTCATTGGTAGCTCTTGTTGATGCCACATACTTGTATCACGAAAAACCTGTTGATCATCTTTCTCAGCGAATGACAATATTTGTAGGAGAACTACACGTCTCGTTACACCATAGGTCTTGTCGAAGAAGAAAAACTACTAATACTTCTAATAGAATTTTTATTACCCTTGATTGGGGCTTATTTTGCCATTTTAAAAGATTAGGGAAACCAGAGCTCTTCCACTGCGGGTCTATACTATGAATAAAAATATACAGTATGATACAAAAAAAATATATATTTATTGTAAATACTAAACTGAATGTGTTCGAGACTTTCTCGAACAATATTCTTTGCCAAAACGCTCGAATTAGTTAAATTCTCGGTTGTGAGAGCACCAGACGGATATATTATGATATTAATGTTAGTGTTGAAATTTTTTATCAGATTTTAAAATTGGCATTAGCTTTATTTGTACCTGTTAGGAGATATAAACCATCAGTATACCCTAGATGGTTTTCAGCTGATTTCTCGCTGTATTCAAAAGTACTCGCTCAGCTATTGATTACTTAAATTTTTCTAACCTTCGGTCTCAATGTAAAAATTTATCAAAACTAAATTATGAAAATTATATTTCTGGTATAGATCTGAAGGTTTGTGAAAATAAAAATACTTCTGGAACCACATTAATTCTTTGAAACAAGACCGTGGTATTCCCAATAGAATGTATTATAATGGTACAATTGCTGATAATGAGAAAGACATCAGTAATTTGTTTGTTACGCATTTCTCCAGTGTTTATAAGAAAGATATTGTAGCTGAGCCAAACCTTCATTATAATGCTTTTAACCAGCCTGATATTCCATTTATACAGTTTTCCTTAAGTGATGTTTATGATGGTATTAACTCCCGAAAAGATAAATTGAGTTATGGTCCAGATGGAATCCCTGCTTATTTTTTAAAAAAATGTAAATTCACTCTTTTCAAACCACTACAGTTTTTATTTAATTCCTCTTTGAAATTACAACAGTTTCCTGCAAAATGGCGTGATAGTTTCATTACCCCCATATTTAAAAATGGTCAGATAGATGACATAGTTAACTATCGCCCTGTAGTTTTACTTTCTGAAATACCTAAACAGGGAATATTGATTATCCTCAAGCAGTAGGCCTTATTAATTTTAGTACCTTTAGTAGGACTAGACAATTTGACTTATTTAATATACCACTAATTACTATTTTAATTCATCAGTAAGTCGAATGTTACGTACATGTAATAAGTTGAAATGTAAAAATTGTGATATTTTTGGAACTATTAATGCTCTCAGAATATATTTAAATAATATGGAAATATAACATTTTGTCATTATTTTCTTACTGATTTTATAATTGTTATTTGATGCCGTTATATTTGATATTTTCTATTGTATTTTATATTTGGTATTGTATTTTATATTACCTATATTAGTATTAGTTTAGTATTTAGTTCAGTATTTATTTTGCTGCTATTATTCTACTTAATATTGTATTTTTTAAATGGGGTCACTTGTGAATAAATAAATAAATTATTAGAATTATTGTTATATAAACCTTTGTCATGGCATTGCAAAAACATTTGGATTGAACAACAGCATGGGTTTATGGGAGGTAAGTCTACTAATACAAATTTACTGCTCTATGAACATTATATCATTTCTGCCTTCGAGAGGGGGTATCAAGTTGACTCAATTTACACTGACTTCTCGAAGGCATTTGACACGGTGAACCATGATTTACTTTTAAGGAAATCAGTGTAATTCGGATTTCCAAACTACTTAGTGACATGGTTAGAAAGTTACCTGCAATCCAGGGTTCAATATGTCAAAGTTAAAAGTTTTACTTCGATTCCAATAAATGTAAGTTCAGGTGTCTCTCAGGGATCTCATTTGGGACCATTACTATTTAATATATTTATTAATGATGTGTCTTCAGGATTTAAATAGTGTAAGTTCCTACTATTCGCCGATGACCTGAAGTTATTCATGAAAATCTTAAACTTACCTGCCTATTTAAAGTTACAGGATGATTTAAACTATTTTATTAATTGGGCTTTAAATAATGCCATGTCTTTAAATCCACGTAAATGTTTTTCAATCACCTTCACAAGATCAAAAAAACCCTAGAAATTTTCTTTATAATATCAATACTACCGTTTTGGAAAAAGTTAGTGAAATCAAGGATCTAGGTGTCATCTTCGATAGTTCTTTGACATTTGTCCCACACATGAGATCTATCATTAGTAGAGCTCTGAAAACTCTAGGGAATACTCTGTGCCTACATTCCGAACCCTTTACTTAACACTAGTGCGCAGCATCCTCTTATATGCTTCACCAGTCTGGTCACCTCATGACCGGACTTATATTTTAAATTTAGAAGCAGTTCAAAATAGGTTTCTAAGAACTTGTCAGTGGAGGTTACACATGCCTTATCTTTCTAAGAGGGGGCTTAATAACCATTTAAACTTATTGTCAGTTGAGAACACGTTAATTAGTAATAATCTTTTATTTCTTTAAAACCTCCTGGAAGGAATATAGCTTGTCCGGATATGTTGGAGTTAATAAACTTTAGAAT